TCCTTATGGGGCCCGCACTTGATTTTTTTAATTCCGAGCGGGTCATCCTCGAACCTGTAACCATCGTCACTTTTGGGCTCCTGAGGCTTGATTATAGGGGAAGTATCAGGCGGGAACCTCGTCCGTGAGTGAACTGGGTGACGAAACAAACAGCAGGAGGGCGAGGCAAAGGGCAACGCGGGGAGCGGGTGAGGGCCCTGCGCCAGGGGGAGAATGATAATGACGCCGAGAAGACAAGATGGGGCCTCACTAATCGCGAGGACGACAGTGAAGGTTATTTCCAGATCCGCCGAAAAGGATTTTCATGTGGCGTCTTTCCGTTGGATTAATTGAGTCGGTTTTGGGTATTATTTGGTTTTGTTTATACTTCTCGTCTAAATTCCTCCTCTAGGGGGACACGACACGCCCAATTTGAGGATAGGCAACCTTCCCAAGGGTACATCCTTGGCGACTTTAGCTGGCCGACCTCGTACGAAGAACGTGAACATGGCCCTCCAAGGCCCCTGCATCCTAACCGCGCATCCCTATGATACGGGTGGAGTGTAGGACCCCCAGGCCCCCGCCCCAGACATGCTCGCATATTTCCTGACATCACAGCATCAACGGTCGGCTTATATGGGTTTCGGCCCCCCGGGGGCCCTCTCGCGGGTCCTCGGGAGCATCAGAGAAACCGGTTCGGGACGGAAAGCCGGCCCACGGGGAGAGGGCCCCGGGGACCGCGCGCAGAAAAGCTCAAGACATCGGAGAGTTGGGACTGATCCACGGTCACAGCCGAATTCCCTTGATCCGAGACAGGAATTTATGCATGACCATCGCCAGGAGGATCCATTTTCGGGGACCTCGGCAGGCGGTGGATATGGATATATTCGGGGTCCCGGGGGCCAACATATTATGATTGTGCAGGGTAGCCAAAGGCGACTCAAGTACGATGTAACGCTTATCATTATGAACACAGACCGAGCTCTCAAGCCATGGCAACCCTACCAATCCGCTGACCGTCTCTGGTCATGGCCTGCTTGGACGACAACGGTTGCGTATGGCCGCCCGCTGGGGCACCAGGGCGTCGGTTCCCAGGCGGTGGGTATGGATAACCCCCCGCCTCGCACTTGACCGCCCTGTGCTTCCCAGCAGCTCGTGCGCCGCGCCGCGAGCCGCGCCGCGTGCCGAAGGGCGCGGCCGATCGCCCCCGTCGCGGGCCCGCGGGGGCGGCGCGCGGCGTCGTGCACGCGCCGCGGCGTGCCCCGCCCAGCTGCCGAGGGTGCCCGGCTCTGCGAGCGGTCGGGCGCCTGGGGCCGCGCGTGGCGCCCGCCACCCGCGAGGCAAAATTATGCTGGCGAAGGACCCAACCATACGGAAGTGTGAGAGCCACAGGGAGGTGGGACGAAGCAAGGGGAATTCCCAATGGGGCCACGAACCGAGTGGGGGGTGCGCCAAAATGGGGCCGGGCCGCCGTGCGAACCCTGCCACTGGGGCCTTCTGTGGAGCCCCTTATGGGGCCACGAACCATGTGGGGGGTGCGCCAAAATGGGGCCGGGCCGCCGTGCGAACCCTGCCACTGGGGCCATCGGTGGGGCCACGAACCGTGAGAGGGATACGCCACAATGTGGCTGCGCCGCCATGCGAACCCTGCCACTGGGGCCTTCGGTGGATCTCCCTGTTGGGCCACGAACCGTGTAAGGGGTACTCCAAAATGGGGCGGGGCCGCCATGCAAACCCTGCCACTGGGGCCTTCGGTGGAGCTCCTATGGGGCCACGAGCCGTGTGAGGGGTACTCCAAAACGCGGGGCCGCTATGCGAACCCTGCCACTGGGGCCTTCGGTGGAGCTCCCTATGGGGCCACGAACCGTGTGAGGGGTGCGCCAACATGGGACGGGGCCGCCATGCGAACCTTGCCACTGGGGTTTTCGGTGGAGCTCCTATGGGGCCACAAACCGTGTGAGCGGTGCGCCGAAATGGCGCGGGGCCGCCATGCAAACCCTGCCACTGGGGCCTTCGGTGGAGCCCCCTTATGGGGCCACGAACCGTGTGAGGGGTGTGCCAATATGAGGCGGGGCCGCCATGCGAACCCTGCCACTGGGGCCTTCGGTGGAGCTCCTTTATGGGGCCGCGAACCGTCTGTGGGGTGCGCCAAAATGCGGGGCCGTCATGCGAACCCTGCCACTGGGGCCTTGGGTGGAGCTCCCTATGGGGCGACGAAACGTTGCACTCAGGAAGGAGGGAGAGGAGGGACGAGGGGGAAGAGGGAGGAGGGAGGAGGGAGGAGGGGCAGGAGGAGAGGAGGAGGAGGAACGCGGGGCACCGTATCTTCAAAACGAGGACCCAACACCACAGGGTGGTTGGGAACAACATCTGGGGGGCCTTGCCCCTCCGCCTCCTCCTCCTCCTCCTCCTCCTCCGCCTCCTCCTCCGCCCTCCTCCTCCTCCTCCTCCTCCTCCTCCTCCTCCTCCTCCTCCTCCTCCTCCTCCTCCTCCTCCTCCTCCTCCTCCTCCTCCTCCTCCTCCTCCTCCTCCTCCTCCGCCTCCCTCCTCCTCCTCCACCTCCTCCTCCTCCTCCTTCCTCCTCCTTCCTCCCCGCGGCGCTCTCACCGCCCAGGGCCCGCCGAGGAGCCCGCCCAGAACCGAGCCCCGCCCAGGAGCAGCCGCCCAGAATCTTCGGCGATCGACGCGCTCCGTGCTCTCCCGACGACGACCGACGACGACGACGACGACGACGACGACGACGACGACGACGACGACGATGACGACGACGACGACGACGACGACGACGACGACGACGACGACGACGACGACGACGACGACGACGACGACGACGACGACGAGGCGCCGCCGCCGCCGCCGTCGCCGCTGCGGGGGGAGGCCGTGCTCCACCACGCGGCGCTCGTCACCCTGGCGCTTCCAGCTTTCCCTGCTCCCGCTCGCCCCGCCGCCCTCCGACCAGCGCCCTCGAGAGGGCGGCGTCTCGGGCCCCCGGAGACCAGGACACAGGTGAACCAGGACACGGATCGCCGAACGGAAAACCAAAGGAAACGGCACCAGGTCCTGCAAAGTCGCAGTTCGGTTTATAGGGGGGTCTTGCAGAGGCTCTTAGGGCCCGCGTCCGGGTTTTATTCTGGGAGTGCTGCAGTGCAGTACTTTGTTCGTGCCGTCGTCTGGAGAACTTGGTCTCGAGGGATGTGGGCTCCTCCTCCTCCTCCTCCTCCTCCTCCTCCTCCTCCTCCTCCTCCTCCTCGTGCTCGGGCCCAGCGCGTCCAGGTCTGCGTGGCTCCCGAGCGCCCCTCGCTGGGCCGTGCCGCCGCCCCTGCCCGCGCCAGCAGGCAGGCCCGCGGAGCCGCGCGCTTCGCGGGGGCGGCCCGCCGCGCCGCGGCCCCGCGGGGGCGCGCCCCGAAGCAGCCCCATCCTCCTCCTCCTCCTCCTCCTCCTCCTCCTCCTCCTCCTCTCTCCTCCTCCTCCTCCTCCTCCCCCTCCTCCTCCTCCTCCTCCTCCTCCTCCTCCTCCTCCTCCTCCTCCTCCTCCTCCTCCTCCTCCTCCTCCTCCTCCTCCCCCTCCTCCTCCTCCTCCTCCTCCTCCTCCTCCTCCTCCTCCTCCTCCTCCCTCCTCCTCCTCCTCCTCCTCCCCCTCCTCCTCCTCCTCCTCCTCCTCCTCCTCCTTCTCCTCCTCCGCGCGGCCGGCTCCGAGCCAATCTCCTGGGCTTCCTACAGGTGGGGTCGGAGCGGACGGGGTCGGAGGATCGCTCCCCGTCGCCGGTGCATCGGCGGTGCGGCCCGATGTGGGGCCCGATGTGCTTCACGACGACGTCTCCGATGCATCGCCGGTGCATCGTCGATGCATCGGCAATGCGGCGCGATCCTCCGACCCCATCTACTCCGACCCCATCTAGGAGGTCTCTATAATCGGCCTCCTTAGCCAGTCCCGAGCCCGAGCTCCGCTCCGCACATAGACTGACTGAGGATGAGCAAGGAAGTACCCATACTGCTACCCTTGGCCCGTCTTCCCCTCTGTGGGCCTCCTGGGAGGCCCTCGTCGCCACCGCTGGATCCGCTTCGAAGTGCTGGTCAGAACGCGCCCCAGGAGAGGTCCTGGGGGTAGCGGTATCGGCACCTTTTGGTTTCCACTCCCCGCAGCCCCGAGAGGAGGCAGTGTGGCTGCCCCTGCCGCGTGGCCGGCACGAGGGATGATCGAGAGGCGGATGGCGGGATCCTCAGCTCAGTCGCCATCAGATGTCAGGCTGCCGCTCTTTACAACGAGCCTCGTCCACCCAGGGCTTCGGGCCCGCAAAGCCTAGGTGCGCAGCTTGCTGCACCGTCCTGGATTGGGAGCAGATCCCTGGGAGCAGGCACTGTTTCGTCTTTCGCTAGCTCCATCGATCCTCCGCGTCGTCACCTTCCCCTGTGCGTGAAGCAGACGGAGTGCCTCAGGCCTGACCTGGTCTCCACGGGCTGCCCAGCGCAATCCGGCTTGTTCTGGTCTCCACGGGCTGCGCAGCCCAATCCTCCTGCTCCTCCTCTGTGCCATCATCCACTTCTCGCTCCTCCTCCTCCGTTAGCCCGACGACTTCGACGCCCATGTTGACGACGACGACGACGACGACGACGACGACGACGACGACGACGACGGCGACGGCGGCGACGACGACGACGACGAATGCACCCCTTCCACTCCTCGTCGTCTGGTCCTGCTCTTCGCTCCTCTTGCCGTGTTTCACGCTATCCTCGCCCTCTCACTCCTACCAGCACGCTGGATACACACGACGCGGCTGGCCTGGGCGATTGATGATAAACGTGCGGCCGCACATCTTCCAAGTGCTCGCCAGTTTATGGCCAGGTACGCTGGGATTCCGCACGTGCATCCAGCGCGTGGCTTCAGGATGTTTCACATGTGAATCTGGCCATGTGTGTTTCCGCCTTTGCGGTAGTCCCCTCTCCCTCCCCCTCTTCCCCCCTACCTTCCTCCCCCCTGTCCCCCCCTCCCCGGACGACGATGTCCGCACCCCTCCGCTGGAGGTGCGCCTGATGGCGCTGTCCAGCAGGAACCCGCAGAACCCCTCCCCCTGCGCACGCGCACGTCCCCCAGCGCGGGCGCGAGCGCGCGCGCGAGCCAACACGTGGGTGAGGAGGAGGAGGATGTAGAGGAGGGAGGAGGAGGAAAGATCAGGGGTAAACAGGGTGGTGAGGAGGAGGGAGGAGGAGGGGCAGGAGGTAGGGGAGGAGGAGTAGTCGAAGGAGGGAGGAGAAGCGCGACCCTACGTCGTGAATTTTTCGTCAGCCTGTCACGCTGCCAGTTCTGGCCCACCACGCTTCGGCGCGACACGCTAATCGCGCCCCCAGAGCCCGAGCGCCAGCGTCTCGAGCCTCTCACAGCCTCCCACCCCGCGAAGCGGAGCGACACGCTGTCAGCCCACAGGGCCCAGCCTGTCGCCGGGGCCGCATCCGAGATACGGCAAGCAAAAGTTCCTGACCGTAGCTGCCCTTCGAAACCCGCCACGTTGGATGCAACTCCTGGGTGGTTGGATATAACATCGGCGCTGGCATTTCCGTGGTCGAACTTCCCCCCAATCCGCCATAATCCCGGATAGTCCCGCTTAGTCCTGCTTGATCCGGCTGGATCCCAGATCTGATCTAGCCAATGTCGGGCCAAATAACCCTTCCGTAGTCGTTCTTTCGAAGATTTCGCAAGAGTTGCCTGCCAGCCCAGCGGTCCGCTGTCTTGATTGTTTCAATGCGGGTTCCCCTGAGTTCTGGACCCCTCCCCGTGGACCGGCTTTTCATCCCGAGTCCTTTTCTGACGGTCCTGGGGCCCGGCGAGGGCCTCCAGAGATCCAACATTCTGAAGAATTTCCGTTTTGATTTTTCAAAAACATTGGTACCCCAGGATCCCCAGGAGTTACCTCCTAACCCCCGTGGGCGAAGAACATCCGTATCCGCGGCCTCGCGGGCTGGGCCTCTGGGCCGCGACCCCGCGGACAAGAGGCGTTTCGTTGTCGGATGCCCCCGCCGAACGCATCCGTGCCACCGCGTGCCCGCGAGGTCCCGCCCCGGAATCCAGATCACGAGGGCGCGGACACGGACATGTGCGCCTCTCGTGGCGAAGACCTCCCGGGAGCAGCCTCCCAACCCTACCGTCCACCCCGCCCCCCTTGGCTCAAGGATCCCGACGATCCAGGGGACCCCACGATCAATACGTCGAATCTCAGGGAGCGCCATCATCCATCCCGCTCCCTTGGAGACCGTCTTTCCCCACATGCTTAGTGGGGTTATGGTTATCTTCCTTCCCGCGTCGCAACCGCGTCTCCTCCTCACCCTTCCTTCTCCTTCTCCTTCTCACACAGCACAGCGTAGCACAGCACAGCACAGCAAAGCTCAGCACAGCACAGCACAGCACAGCACACAGCACATTGACACACAGCACGTACACAGCACAGCACAGCTCAGTTCAGCACAGCTCGGCTCAGCTCAGCACAGCACAGCACAGCACAGCTTATCGCATCTCAGCACAGCACAGCACAGCACAGCACAGCACTGCACAGCCCAGCACAGCACAGCCCAGCTCAGCACAGCACAGCACAGCTCAGCTCAGCTCAGCACAACACAGCTCAGCACAGCACAGCACAGCACAGCACAGCACAGCACAGCACAGCACAGCACAGCACAGCACAGCACAGCACAGCACAGCACAGCACAGCACACACACACACAAACACGCAAACACAAACACATGACACGCACACCACGCAACACATGCGCGTCAACAGGAGGTGCGCAGGGGGTGGTCCCTGAGGGCGGCCGCTATCCGTGACGGTCGTCCAGGGCACGTCAGGCGTGGCATATTCTCGACACCATAGGGGGTGCGCACGGGGTGGTCCCTGAGGGCGGCCGTTATGCGTGCAGTCGTCCAGGGCACAGCAGGCGGGGCATTTTCTCGACACCACAGGGGGTGCGCACGGGGTGGTCCCTGAGCGCGGCCGTTACCCGTGACAGCCGTCCAGTGCACAGCAGGCGTGGCGTTTTCTCGACACCACAGGGGGTGCGCACAGGGTGGTTACTGAGCGCGGCCGCTATCCGTGACGGTTGTCCAGGGCACAGAAGGCGTGGCGTTTTCTCGACACCACAGGGGGTGCGCACGGGGTGGTCCCTGAGCGCGGCCGCTATCCGTGACGGTCGTCCAGGGCACAGCAGGCGTGGGGGTCTCTCGACACCACCGGGGGTTTGCACGGTGTGGTCCCTGAGCGCGGCCGCTATCAGTGACGGTCGTCCAAGGCACGGCAGGCGTGGCATATTCTCGACACCACCGGGGGTGCGCACGGGGTGGTCCCTGAGCGCGGCCGCTAGGTCGTCCAGGGCACAGAAGGCGTGGCGTTTTCTCGACACCATAAGGGGTGCGCGCGGGGTGGTCCCTGAGCGCGGCCGCTATCCGTGACGGTCGTCCAGGGTACAGCAGGCGTGGGGGTCTCTCGACACCACAGGGGGGCGCGCATGGGGGTGGTCCCTGAGGGCGGCCTCTATCCGTGACGGTGGTGGTCGGGGCACATCGGTACGCAAGCTTGCTATCCGTGCCGGTCGTGCTCAAGGCACAGGGGGAAGAAAGCGAGGTGAGTGGTATCATCACTCGGATTTTTAGCCACCTTGGGTCTTGCTGGCTCAGACCGTTCGGGTTTGCACGCAGGCGTGCTCGCCATGTCCGCGCTGCCGCCTCCGTGCGAGCAGCTCAAGGACTCAAGGCTAGGGATGGGCGCCGAAGTGAGTTTAGATGGTTTACGCGAGCATTTTTGACAGGCATGGGAGAAGCTTGGTACGCCACGCATTTAATGCTTACCAGTGACCGCTTGTAAACTGGTGGCCCGAGACGCTTCTCACCAGGTGCAACGAGTGGCCACGTCAACGAGGCGCCGGCGTTGCCAGGAGGCAACGTTTGGTCAGGTATTTGCAGAGCACTTCTTCGGGCGGCTTCCCGACAAACGTCTCTTCCGGTTTGCACCGGGGGACGGGGGCGGACGGCGGCCCGCCGCCAGCGAAGGTTCGGCGAGTGCACGAGGCCGGAATGGCGGGCGCTGACCCGGTACATTCTTCAGGACAGCATGCCACTCCTATGGGGACCACGCAGGCCGCGCCACCTCTGTTCGTTCCAGTGGCGCACCTCGTATTGCGGCATCCCTGGCCACGGCGACGGGTACGACGAAGGCGATGACGACGACGAGGACGACGACGACGACGACGACGTTTTGGAACGGTCGTTCAGCGCCTGTGCTCTTGTCTGGTTGATCTGTTTGGTCTGGTTTGTGGCGCTGGCTGGCTCGTCTGGCTGGTGGTGGTGGCGGTGGTAGTGGTAGCATAGCGCACACAGCAATAACATGAAGTATGTGGGGCTCCTCGGTAGCGTAGTTTTATCCCGCGATCACGGGCATGAAAAGGGGAGGGGGAGAGGGGGCCGGTCACGTCAGGATTCGCGCCTGCGCCGTCCGGGAATTTGTAAGCATGGCTGATTTCCACACGGCGGAGGCGCGAATCGTGACGTGACCGGGGGGGGAGGCAAGGGGGGCAGGGGAGGTGCAGGGCCCGTCACGGGCGCGTTATCGCGAATAATGCACGAGCGGGCTCCATCCACCCCGCTCCCGTGGCTCAGGGACCTGCGGCGAAGGGCGCCCGGGGGGGGGCTCCGCTGCCGCTTCGCCTCGCGCCATGCGGCCGCGGGCGCAGCGGCGCAGCCCGCGGCGGTGACAGGCTGGGCGCGCCACTGGCTGTCGTCGTCGTCGTCGTCGTCGTCGTCGTCGTCGTCGTCGTCGTCGTCGTCCTGACCGTCGTCGCCTTGACGGCGGCCACGGCGACGATGCGTCGACGCCGCCGCCAGCGACGCCACTGCGGCCTCGCGCTTGGCGCCAGCCAGGGCCCCCAAGGAAAGGATCAGGAGGATGACGAGGAGAAGGAAAAGGGGGGGAGGAGGAGGAGGAGGAGGAGGAGGAGGAGGGGGGGAGGAGAAGGATGAGGAGGAGGAGGAAGAGGAGGAGGAGGAGGAGGAGGAGGAGGAGGAGAAGGAGGCGGAGGAGAAAAAGGAGGCGGAGGAGGAGAAGGAGGCAGAGGATGAGGGAACAAAAGAGATTGGCGGGGGACGGGGAGGGGAAGGGGGATGGGGTGCGGGAGGCGGGGGTGGAGCTCAAAGGTAGAGGGGGAGGAGGAGAGAAGGACTGCGGATGATGATGATGATGATGATGATGATGATGCTGATGATGATACTGATGATGATGATGATGTTGATGATGCTGATGAGGATGAGGTTGAGGATGTTGGTGGGGGCGGTGGTGGCGATGATGATGCTGATGTTGATGGTGATGATGATGAGGATGATGGTGATGGTGATGATGATGGTGATGATGATGTTGCGGACGATGCTGATCATGATATTGATGCTGATAGTGCTGATGCTGCAGATGATGATGCTGATAGTGCTGACGCCGATGGTGATTATGATGACGACGATGAGGATGAGGATGAGGATGAGGATCAGGATGATGGTGGTGTCGGTGGTGGTGGTGCTGCTGATGATGATGCTCATGGTGATGATGATGATGAGGATGATGGTGATGGGGCTGATGCTGGTGATGATAATCATGCGGGCAATGCGGCAATGCGGATGGTGCTGATATTGATGCTGATAGTGTTGATGCTGCTGCTTGTCATGCCGATAATGCTGATGATGATGATGCGAATGAGGATGATGATGATGATGGTGATGATGATGAGGATACTGACGATGGTGACTAGGATGCTGATGATGATCAGCATGATGATGATGATGATGATGACGATGATGATGATGATGGTGATGGTGATGGTTATGATGATGCTGATGATGCTGATGTTGATGGTACTGACGATGATGCTGATGATGCTTAGTAGTATGATGATGCTGATGTGTGTGATGATGGTGATGCAGCTGATTTTGATGATGATGCTGATGATGATGATGGCGACGATGATGATGATGCTGATGATGATGATGATGATGATGATGGTGATGATGGTGCTGACGATGATGATGACGACAATGATGGCGGTGTTGCCGAGGAGTATGATGCTGACGACGGTGCCGCTCATAAGGATGATGATGAGGATGCTGATGATGATGATGATGCTGATGCTGATGACGATACTGATGATGCTGATGCTGATGCCGATGATGATGGTGGCGATGATGATCACGCTTATGCTGCTGATGATTCTGCTTCTGATGATGATGATGATGGTGATTGTGACGATGGTGGTGATGACGATACCGAGAATGACGATGATGATGATGATGATGATGATGATGATGGTGATGCTGATGATGGTGATGATAATGATAATGATGATGCCGAGGATGGCGATGATGATTCTGACGACGATGACAATGCTGCTGATGATGTCGATGATGATAAAATGTGATGATGCTGATGATGCTGATGATGATGACGATGATGATGATGATGACGATGGTGATGATGCTGATACTGGTAATGATGATGTTTATGTTGGCGTGGATGATTCTGATGATGATGGTCATGACGATGTTGATGATAATGATGGTGATGGTGTTGATGATGATGCTGATGAGTATGAGTATGCCGATGATGATGCCGATTATGATGATGCTGATGATGCGATGCTGATGATGCAGATGCCCGTGCTGATGATGATACTGAAGGTGATGGTGGTGATGCTGATGCTGATGATGATGCTGCTGATGGTGATGATGATGATGATGATGATGGTGATGATGATTATTGTAATGACGGTGGTAGTCTAGTTGCTGGTACTTGGTATGCTGGTGATGATGATTGTCATGGTGTATGTGATGAGGAGTATGATGATGAGCATGAGGAAGTGATGGCGATGGTGATGGTGGCAATGGAGAGGGACTGGACTTGTGTTGTGTCTACCGTGTGTTAAAGGTGCCGCAGCTGGAACTGCTTCTTCACTTGAGCTGGATTCGCGTTGGGCGTGCCCGCCCCCGTTCCCCGCGCCCGCTGAGATAATTCTACAGCCGTATTTTGGTGGTTTCGGTTGTGTGTGGTCAAGGGCTTGGTGAACACGTGATAGGCCACTCGCCAGGATGCAACCATACAGGCGGCATGTGACGCTGAGAGCTGGACGCGCGGCCGAGACTTTGCGTGGGGGGCGCAGGGGAATCGGGGGGTGGGCGGGGTCGTAGCCCATGTGCGACGCTCCAGGGGGACGGACTGGCCATTTGCGCGCTCCGACCTCCAGCGCGGTGCGCTGAGCCAAAGACGGCGCGCGCTGGCGGTCCGCGAGTCAAGCGGACCCGCGGAACCCACGCCGAGCCAGCTGGGCCGAGCGAGGCAAATCCGCTGCAGCCATGCCGAAACAGGCAGGCGCTGGGGCCGCGGCGGCCAATCCAATCCGCACTGAATCCGCGGCACCTGGACCGAGCCCCGGACCGAACACGGCAAATCTGCGGCGACCAGGAGCTTTCCCCCCAGGCCTACGGCGGCAGACTTAGTTGAAGCTTTGAAGAATTCCTTCAAGGAGTGCACGGGTACCGGGTTTGATCAGGTCACCCTGTGCTCTCTGCTTAGGATGCCGTCGGCTGCTTTTGAGGCTCTGTGTGATATTCCGCATCACATCGAGCATCATTTGTAGTGATGTCCTAACGTTCCGCTCACAAGTCCAGGAGCTGTTCCACCCTTTCGCTAGGAAGGCTTTCGGGCTGGTGCAGCATCGCCACCTCATCGAGTCCGCGCAGGCCAGTCAGTTCCCCGTGTGGCAATTGTACCTCCGAGTGCAGATTCATCGAGCGACCATACTCATCGATGTTGCTGGCGGGGTTGGTTCCGTTTTGGAGGTCCAGCAAACGATTGTACCAGGCTGTACATTTTCCACTTGCATGTCGCAGGTCATGTTATTCGGCCTTCTCGACGCCGCGCAGGCGGCCGTTCTCGCCGTGCAGCTCTCCGTCAATGTTGACGGCTTTGGCCCCAGTAAATGGGGGGGCGGGTCGAGAGTCATCTGTGACGTTTTCGTGGCATTCGTGCAGTCGGCCTTTCTCCGCCAAGGACAGTCCGCGCATCCCGGACAACTCGTAAGCGCCTCCAAGCCATAGTCGTTCGCTCCGAGAGTAATCTTGGAGTTGGTGTTGTGTCTTGTCTGGTTGGTGGCACAGCTATTCTTCAGGGTCGTATCCGTGCGATGAGGCATCGTAGGCTTCGGATGTCGCCGGCAGTATCTGGCAGGAAGACGCGTGGTGCGCTTGAGTCTGCTGTGTTGCATGGCACGTATGTGATTGAACGAACGGTGGAGAGTTCGATGTCCTTGGAGAAGCGGCTGGCAATCTTCAAAGCCATCATCTTGATGGCAGATCTAGGACCCTCGCTCTGATGCTCTCTCAAGTGTCCTGGTTGAAACCCGTCTACGGAACCTCTTGGTTGCCCGTCCAGGGTTTCCTCATGCGTTGTGGCACTTCTTGCCCCTGTGAGGCTCTCGACCACGCGCTCCGCGAGGTTCGCGCTAGGTTGTGTAAGCTCGAGATCCCTCGGTTCTCCATCAAAGGCCCCTTCAGCGCCCTGTGGGCTTCCCTTAGGCGCACTGGGATTACTACCACCTCTGGCACCTTTGCGTGGCCTGCCGGGGCCAATATCGACCCACCCGAGTTCTGACCCGCCACGGTCCAGACTCTCTTGCTCCGTGCGCTGGAGATCTGGCAGCGCGCCTCCGTTGGTCGGGGGCGGCAAACAGGGGGGTGATGACTAGGGGGGGGGGATATCATGACGGGGGCCATGATATCTCCCCAGATTTCCTGGCGCCTCTTCTCATTTCATTACGTTCCTGGCCCCCCCCCTGGGCCGCGCACATGCCGCCGGCCATGATTTGCACCCCCCTCTCTTGGACGCCCCCCTCTTGGCCGCTCCCGAGTTGGGGCTCATTTCGAGCAGGCTCAGTTTGCAGATGGATTGCTCCTCCGTCCCCTGAGGGCTCCTCCCGGCAGCAGCAGAAAGCTCTCGGGCGAGCAGGTGGCCCACCCTGGGACCACCGTTCCGGGAGACCAGTGGCATCAGAAGAGACTGGGCAGCAGGATGCCCTGCGCCGCCTCTCTGTCTCGGGCCGGACGAAAGGGGGGGATAGGGAAAGGGGGGGTAAGAAATCTGCTGCATGCAGCTGGCTTCGGCCTCACCGAGGGGCCCCGGGAAAATCAGCTACGTGAGCTGATTCTCAACCCCCCCTTTGCTATCCCCCCCTTTCGCCCGACCCGATTGTCTGCCGTGCCCTGGTAAAGAAGGCGCTTGTTTCAACTGGTGTTTCTCTTGTGGCCTGAGGCTCTCGAGGGCCCGCTGCCTTCTCGTGCCAGTGCTGAGGCCGCTGCTTCGGGATCGCCGCTCGCCTTGCTTTGTGCGGTGAGATGCCTCGTGCCCTTCCCCGAGCTCACGATGCCCCCCCCCTTTGGGCCTGCCGTGGCGTGGGGTTGCGAGACATCTCTCCTGACGGATCGGTCTTTGAAGCTCAGCGTCTTACCTTCGCCAGTATTGGGTGGGAGCGCGTTTCGCTTCATCCTTACAGGAATCGGGTTGCTGTCAGTATCTCGGGCCCAGTGTTGGACCCACTTCAGCGCGTCAGTGCTTCACAAAAGCGCGCATGTTCGCGATGGTTTCCACGAGTGCGAGGCCGCGAGCAGACCGCGTCTTGTGTCTCCTCCCACGCCAGCTTTTGAGGCTCTTTGGGCAACTCCATGACGACTGGGGTGGAGGTTTCGAGATGTGTGAAGTTTAAGATCGCACGCCCATGTCGAATTTGACTTAGGACGCATCACGCAGAGCCATCGTTTCGGTAACATGCGGGCCGATGAGATGGTTCGCGATGCTGGAGAGTTTTCACGTTTAGACTTTCGCTCCAGGCAACAGCTCAAGGTTAGGATTGAGTCTGGCTGTCCCTCTACAGGAGGACTGTTCAAAAATAGTCAAACAAAGTCTGGGGGACGATTGTTTTATTTTTAAGTTTGATGATTTTAGGGTATTTTTGATTTGTTTTCAATTGTTGACGCTTCGCGTATCCCCACCAGCCCATCCAGAAACGATGCTCAGGGGAGTTGAGGTGATCAGGGAAGTCGGGGAGCATGCAGAATAACAAAGGGCGGGGGAAGCTGTCACAGACCCCGAGAGGGGGAGGATGGAAGAGGAGTCGTCGTCGTCGTCGTCGGAGGAGGAGGAGGAGGAGGAGGGGGAAGAGGAGGAGGAGGAGGAGGAGGAGGAGGACGGAGAAGGAGGAAGAATCGGAGGAGGAGGAGGAGGAGGGGAAGGAGCTTCTTGGGGGTCTTTTGAGGGCCTCTTGGAGGGCTTTTTGGGCGCCTTGGGGCATCTTGGGCGCCTCTTGGGACCCTCTTGAGGCGCTCTGGGGAGCCTTCGGGGCGCTTTTGGGGCCATCTTGGAGGGAGTCGATCAAACAAGAGGGGGGGTTTAATTAGCGCCCCCCCTCGGAAGCCCCTAAAATCGCCTCTTGGACCCCTCTTGGAACGCTCTTGGAGTGCTCTTGGGCGCTCTTGGGGCCGTCTTGGGGCTCTTTTGGGGCTCTCTTGGGGCCCTCTTGGGCCATCTTGGAGCCATCTCCAGGCCTCGGATGGCCATCGGAAGCGAAAAGGCGAGAAAGCAAAAATCATTGATTTTCCTTAGGTTTTGGGACGATTTTGGCCTCTTCGGGGCCTCCTTGGGGAGCTGTTTGGCCACTTGGAGTTATCTTGGGGCCGTCTTTGGGCTTCTTGGAACCATCTTAGGAGCCATCGTGAGCGATCTTGCGCTATCTTGAGCCATCTTGGAGCTCATCTTGGGTTCTCTGAGGCGCTCTTGGAGCCGTCTTGGGCCATCTTGGACGCTCTAACTACCCGCGGCCCCCCCCGTCCAGGTCCAGGGGAGGGGGTAGGGGGAGGGGTAAACCCCTCCCCAAGGGGGAAGAGGGAGGGGTGGAAGAGGATCTGCTCTAGACCACCTACGCCCAGAGGGCTGGTGGGATTTTCGCCCAACATCCGCCTGTTGGGGGACATGCCCGACCTAAGGTTAGGAGCAACGCCCTTTACATGTGGACCGTCTCGGAGAGGTGGTTGGATGACTGCGGCCATCGTGCCAAGTATCTCTGAGGCAATGCCCCCGTCCCGCAGCTAGTTCTGGTCAAACAGCCCACGCCCACAGACATTGTCAGTCGTCTCATAGGGGCCCAGCGGAGACTCTGCGCTGGCCCTAGGTTGCATGCCCTTGTCAGGCTCCAGCTGCCTGATGGGCCGCTCGTGGTAAGTTGCGCTCGCTGTGCGTATGTTGCCTCGACGCGTGTCTCTATAATTTGGCGGATTCCATGTCCCCCCTCAGGTTTCGGACTGGGCCTCCAAGTGCCCCAAGAGGCACGGGAAGGGGGAATTCAAACTCGGTGCGAATGTGTACCGGGTGGTTCAGCAGTCTGGACTACAGGTCTAGTGCAAAGCCCCGAAGTGGCTTCGGCATGGCTGATTCAGTCATGCCGCAGGCTGTGCCCAGGAGACGAGCGAGGGGCGACGGGAAAGCGAGAAGGGACACACGCACTGCGTGCACGGGGAGGAGAAGGAGCAGCAGCAGGAGGAGGAATTCGGGGCAGAGGCGACGCGGGGTGCAGCAGGAGGCAGCGATGGCGGCGCACGGGCGGTGGCGAGGGCCGCCGGCCGACTGACGCCCCGCCGCTGGCGCCCGCCGCAGAGGCCGCCCGGCCCCTGGCAGCGACGGGGCCGCCGACCCATGGGCCGGGCCAGGCTGAGCGCAGCAGCCGAGGCTCTGCCGCTGCCGCCGCCGCTCGCCGCTCGCCGCCGCCGCCTGCCGTCTGCTGCCTGCCGTCTGCCTGCCGCCGTTCGTCGCCGCCGCTGCCGTCTGCCTGCCGCCGTTCTGCCGCTTCGCCGCTGCGTCCGCCGTTCGCGGCCGTCGCCTGCCGTCTGCTGCTGCCGCCGCCTGCCCCCCCTACCCCCCACCGAGATCCAGGCGCTGCAGTTGTTGTCAGACCTGGCGTTTTTGTGGCCTCCCCGCCAACACCCAGGCCCCCGCCGGGTCATGATGAAAACAGCACGGCGGGAGATTTTTTGTTATTTCCGCACTCTGGGGGCCCTCACCGGGCCCTGGGACCGTCTAAAATCAAATCAGGATGAAAGCCAGTCCTGGTGAATAAGTCGAGACTGACGGGGGCCAAGTCATGAGAATCACGACGTCAGGGGGTCAGGAAAGGTGTGGTGACCACACCGAGTGGTGAGTCAGTGGAGATTCGGGGTCACCGCGCGGTTCTGGGACTCGGTTTGTTTTCCGAGGAGTCTCGGGCGACTGGGTCCTCCAATGTCCCAAGACCGTCCGGTGACGGACCGCGCGTTGAGGCCGTTGGGTATTCCGACGTCACCACGCAGTTCGTCACGACACGGTTTGGAGGCCTCCAAGTTTTCGCCCGGGCCACATGATCATCAGTTCGATGCGGCTCGAAAGAAGGACGCAGACATATAGTAGGGTTTACAGGGTTTGGGTATATTTCTTTTCGCGACGTTGCCATTTTTTTGCATGGTCGAATCCCCGGATTCCTCGGGTTCCCCGTGTTCTCCGCGTTCCTCGGGTGCCTCGGGGTCCTCGGCCTCCCCGGGTTCCTCGGGTTCCCCGGCTTCCCCGGGTTCCTTGGGTTCCCCGGGTTCCCTGGGTTCCCCGCCCCTGGTGCCTCGTATTCTTGTTGTGCCCGGTCCAAGCCGAGGCTTCCCCCCCCTGTGGTAATCATAGTCCCCTCCGAACGCTGCCACTCCGGACAGGGCAAGGCTTTGGGGCGCCTGCAGGCCCTGGGATCTGGGCGCTGCGGTTTTTCACGCTGGGCGTCTTCGCCCGCATGCCTTTCCTCCCTGAGCTGGTCCCCCCCTATGGTTGGAGCAGTGTCAATGCCACGTCGGTCGGACGACCTCATTGGAGCGTGCTACTTCTGCAAAGGGGCGTCTTTCTAGCGTGTGGCGCCGCCGGTTCTCGCCCGCCGCGCCTGGGCGCGACGGTCCCCAGGCGTCAACGTCCCGAGCTTTGCCTAGATTTGAGTCGGGTGTGTCCCTCTACAGGAGGGATGTTCAAAAGTGGTCAAAACATAGTCTGGGTAAGTTTTTGTTGTTTTTTGTTTCTCATTCTTCTTCAAACATTTGCCTGTCGGGCGACATGCCCGACCGAAGCCTAGCTTCCCGCCCAGCGGAGCGGAGCGACACGCCATCCGCTCGCAGGGCATAGCGTGTCACCGAGGCCGCCGCGCCGCGACACGCTCAGCAGATGTTCCCGCCCGTGCTGCCTTGTTGCAAGAAGCAAGGCAAACAAGTGAGGAACACGTGCATTTTGGCAGGCGACGAGCACGTGTCATTGACATGCTTTGGCCCTTCAGACCTCTCCCTCCTCCTCCCTGGACGTCTGGCGCCGTGACTTCTTGACGACGTGGCTCCCGGGAGGTTTGGAGTTTGGACCACCTCCCCGGGACCTGGCTTCTCATCTTGGGTCGTGCGATGACGCTCCTGGGCCTGGCGAGGGCCTCCAGGGGTCGAAAAGTGTAGCAGCCTTCCCGTTGTGGTTCCCGTTCGCGACGCGAAGGGGGTCTTCCTCTCCCTACCCCAGGCGGTCCTGCTTTGGCCTAGTGGTCTGCCCCCCAGCGGTGTCGCAGGTGATGGCCCATGTGGCAAGGCGAAAGTCCTTCCGTGCTTCCTCGTCTTTCAGCGGGAAGGTCGCCAGCCAGGTACCATTGTTGAGGATTGCAAGCGTCCTGTTCTTCCACATCTTCCGATCAGCAGGTGTCTGATTTAGTGAGTTTCTCGAGGGCCGACAAAAACCTGCGTAAACATAACAAATCGGAGCTCCGCGCGGATTTCTTGGATCGGCGCTGGACCCCCGCGGCGGCGCCTCCGACGCCGCCCACGGCGCGCTCCGCGCGCCCGAGAGGGGGGTCCCAGCGCCATTCCGAAAAAATCCGCGGGGAGCTCCGAGAGCTTGTGTTTACGCCATGTTTTTTCGTCCCTTGAGTGAGAAGCACTGCATCGGCAGGTGGTGCCGGCCGGACGGTGTGCAAAACGAAGGATGATGATGATGATGATGATGATGATGATGAGGAGGAGGAGGAGGAGGAGGAGGAGGAGGAGGAGGAGGAGGAGGCAGGAGGAGCAGGAGGAGGAGGAGGCAGGAGCAGCAGGAGGAGGAGGAAGAGGACCAGGAGGAGGAGGAGCAGGAGGAGGAGGCGGCGGGCCCTGCCCCTCCCCGCCCCGACGGCCCCAAGGCCTACGGAGCGGGGCCGCACAAGCTGATCGTGAACCAGCTCCTCGCCCAGGCCGACCCGCGCGAGGCCGCGTCCGTGGCCGCGCAGTTCGCGGAGGTGCGGCGGCAGGCGCTCGGCGGCGGGCGCCAACGCTGTGAGCCTATTTCGCCAGAGAAGAGAGAGGCACCGCCAACATTGAGTTGGGCACTTCCCTCTACAGGAGGAATATACCAAAATAGTCAAATGATAGTCAGGGGACGATTTTTGCAGTATTTTCCGAAAATGTTTGAAATCTGTTGGCACTATTTTTTATTTTTCGGTCCCCCTGCAGGGGGACAGGCCCGACCCGACGAACGCCAACAGCTGCAGAGGCTGGCCGCTCCGAGCTGGGGGCGCCCCGTTCCGGGGCGCGCCCCCCGGGGAGTGCCCAGAGCGGAGCGTCACCAGCTCGGGGGGGAGCGGAGTTCTTCAGGAGGGAAAAAAACACACAGACACAATTAATCGTCGACCCCCAGGACAATATGGGAAAATATGGGAAGTGGGGGGGAAGACAAAAACCCAGAAAATATGAGGAAATATGGGGAATCCTTTTATTTGTGTGTATTTATTTGTGTGTCCCAGGGCCCCTTCAGTTCTATGGAGTTCTGGTGGTGGCGGCTCTTCTTGCTCTCATGGCTCTTGAACTTCTGGCGCCAGCCCTGGGTCTTAGGGGTTCGTGGAATCGGCAGGCAGGGCAGTTGTTGTTTCCAAGAGTCGTGACCTTGAGATTGGGACCAGTACAGTGAGCCCGTCGCGACCCCTAATAAGGGGAACGCTTCCTAAGCGGCGTTGCTTAGAACTGCTAGGCATTGTATAATTTTGCTTTGCATGGTATTGCATTGCATTGCTTGGCATTGCTTTACATGGCTTGGTGTTGCTTGGCATTGCTTGGCAACGCTTGGCATTGCTTTGTATTGCTTGGAGTTTCTTGGCATTGCTTCGCATCGCTTGGCATTGCTTGGCGCTGCTTGGCGTTGCGTGGCATTATTGAGCGTTGCTTTGCATTGCTTGGGGTTGTTTGGCATTGCTTGGCGATGCTTGGCGTTGCTTGGCATTGCCTGGCATTGCCTTGCACGTCTTGGCATTGCTTAACGTTGCTCGGCATTGCTTGGCATTATTTGGCATTGCTTGGCATTGCTTGGCATCGCTTGGCATTGCTTGGCATTGCTTGGCGGTGCTTGGCGTTGCTTGGCATTGCTTGGCGTCGCTTTGCATGCTTTGATATGCTTGGGTTGCTTGGCGTTGCTTGACGTTGCCTGGCGTTGCCTGGCATTGCTGGGAAAGACCAACAGCCAGGGCGGGGAACCCGAGGAACCCGGGGAACCCGAGGAACCTCCGAGGAACGGGCAACGCAAGAATACGAGACACTTGGGGCGGGGAACCCTAGGAATTTCGGGAATCCCAGGAAATTCTGGGGAACGGGCACGAGGCACCGGGGCACCGGGGGCGGGAAACCCGAGGAACCCGAGGAGCCCGAGGAACCTCCGGGGAACAGGCAACCTAAGAATAGGAGGCACCAACCTTTTGGCAAGCCTAATTGGGGGAAAGCGCTCACATGCGTTTCCCTTGTTGACGAAGCGCAGTAATTTAAGCTAGTGTAGCATGATACCCTGGCATGGCTTGATTTGCGGATAGAGACGCCCTCGTCGTCAACAGTGTGCAGTGCTGCTATGCTGTGCTATGTCATGCGGTGCTTTGTAGCGAAGATTGGAACGCGCTCGGCCCACGCTAGGCCACACGTTGTGAGATATTAAGGCGTTGCATTGCCGTTCTTTTGTCAGAACTATGCTGCTATCTGCTGCATTGCAGAGCAAAGAAGTCCAACGCGCATTAATTCATTGCTTTGCTTTGAATTGCAATGCTTCGCTTTACTTCTGTAATGGTTTCAGCTGATTTGCATGTAATCGCAGCGCAAATCAATCATCGCATTTTTCCCCAAATGGGCTGCCGTGGGGGTCAAACTCGTGTTTGAAGAGCTGGCGAATGCGAGGCGTGACCGTCGCCAGATTCTCTGGGGTTCCTTGGTCTTGCTTCCTTGCAACATGGATTCCGAAAGGTCATTGACACTGCTTTTTTTCCCAACCCTCCTTGGTTGGGTATTCGTTTTGAATAGAGCACTGCGGTCTCCAGTCCTCCTCCTCCTCCTCCTCCTCCTCCCGCTTCCCGTCTCCCGCTCCCCTCTTGTCTCCTTTTGCCTTGCGCGAACCTGGACATCCCTGGGGGTTGCGATCTGTGACGCTGTCGCCACTTTCGAGGGCTGCTGGGAAGGCCGCCCCGGGGGGAGGGGCTGCGATCTGCGACTGTCGCCCTTTTCGAGGCTGCTGGTGGGTCCTGCGGGGTGAGGCGCCGCGGGGATCGGAGCGGGGCCTCGCCGTCCTGGGGTGCTGCGATCTGCGACACCGTCGCCCTTTTCGAGGCTGCTGGTGGGTCCTGCGGAGTGAGGCACCGCGGGGATCTGAGCGGGACCTCGCCGTCCCAGGTGGCCGGCGATCTGCAACATGGTCGCCACTTTCTAGGGCTGCTGGTGGGTCCTGCGGAGTGGGGCACCGCGGGGATCTGAGCGGGACCTCGCCGTTCCTGGGGGGCTACGATCTGCGACATTGTCGCCACTTTCGAGAGCTGCTGGTGGATCCTGCGGGGTGAGGCGCCGCGGGGATCTGAGCGGGGCCTCGCCGTCCTGGGGGGCTGCGATCTGCGACACTGTCGCCCTTTTCGAGGCTGCTGGTGGGTCCTGCGGAGTGAGGCACCGCGGGGATCTGAGCGGGACCTCGCCGTCCCTGGTGGGCTGCGATCTGCAACACGGTCGCCACTTTCTAGGGCTGCTGGTGGGTCCTGCGGAGTGAGGCACTGCGGGGATCTGAGCGGGACCTCGCCGTCCCTGGGGTGTTGCGATCTGCGTTTCTGTCGCCACTTTCGAGGGCTGCGTGGGTCCTGCGGGGTGAGGCGCCGCGGGGATCTGAGCGGGGCCTCGCCGTCCTTGGGGGGCTGCGATCTGCGACACTGTCGCCCTTTTCGAGGCTGCTGGTGGGTCCTGCGGAGTGAGGCACCGCGGGGATCTGAGCGGGACCTCGCCGTCCCTGGTGGGCTGCGATCTGCAACACGGTCGCCACTTTCTAGGGCTGCTGGTGGGTCCTGCGGAGTGGGGCACTGCGGGGATCTGAGCTGGACCTCGCCGTCCCTGGTGGGCTGCGATCTGCGTTTCTGTCGCCACTTTCGAGGGCTGCTGGTGGGTCCTGCGGAGTGAGGCGCCGCGGGGATCTGAGCGGGGCCTCGCCGTCCCTGGGGGCTGCGATCTGCGACACTGTCGCCCTTTTCGAGGCTGCTGGTGGGTCCTGCGGAGTGAGGCACCGCGGGGATCTGAGCGGGACCTCGCCGTCCCTGGTGGGCTGCGATCTGGGACATTGTCGCCACTTTCTAGGGCTGCTGGTGGGTCTTGCGGAGTTGGGCACCGCTGGGATGTGAGCGGGACCTCGCCGTTCCTGGGGGGCTGCGATCTGCGTCTCTGTCGCCACTTTCGAGGGCTGCTGGTGGGTCCTGCGGAGTGAGGCACTGCGGGGATCTGAGCGGGACCTCGCCGTCCCTGGGGTGTTGCGATCTGCAACACGGTCGCCACTTTCTAGGGCTGCTGGTGGGTCTTGAGGGGTGTACCACCGCGGGGATCTGAGCGGGACCTCGCCGTCCCAGGGGGGCTGCGATCTGCGACATTGTCGCCGCTTTCGAGGGCTGCTGGTGGGCCCTGCGGAGTGAGGCACCGCGGGGATCTGAGCGGGACCTCGCCGTCCCTGGGGTGCTGCGATCTGGGACACTGTCGCCACTTTCGAAGGCTGCTGGTGGATCCTGCGGGGTGAGGCACCGCGGGGATCTGAGCTGGACCTCGCCGTCCTTGGGGGGCTGCGATCTGCGTCACTGTCGCCACTTTCGAGGGCTGCTGGTGGGTCCTGCGGGGTGAGGCACCGCGGGAGTCTGAGCGGGACCTCGCTGTCCTTGGTGGGCTACGATATGCGACATTGTCGCCGCTTTCTAGGGCTGCTGGTGGGTCCTGCGGGGTGAAGCAGAGCGGGGATCTGAGCTGGACCTCGCCGTCCTTGGGGGGCTGCGATCTGCGACACTGTCGCCACTTTCGAGGGCTGCTGGTGGGTCCTGCGGAGTGAGGCACCGCGGGGATCTGAGCGGGACTTCGCCGGCCCTGGGGTGCTGCGATCTGGGACATTGGCGCAATTTTCGAGGGCTGCTGGTGGGTCCTGCGGAGTGAGGCACCGCGGGGATCTGGGCGGGACCTCGCCGTCCATGTTTGGCTGCGATCTGCGTCACTGTCGCCACTTTCGGAGGCTGCTGGTGGGTCCTTCGGATTGAGGTACCGCAGGAATCTGAGCTGGACCTCGCCGTCCCTGGGGGGCTGCGATCTGCGATACTGTCGCCACTTTCGAGGGCTGCTGGTGGATCCTGCTGGGTGAGGCACCGCGGGGATCTGAGCGGGACTTCGCCGTCCCTGGGGGGCTACGATCTGCGACACTGTCGCCACTTTCGAGGGCTGCTGGTGGATCCTGCGGAGTGAGGCACCGCGGGGATCGGATCGGGACCTCGCCGTCCCTGGGGGGGCTCTTGAGAGCTGCTGCGGGATACGTTAGGCGCAACGGGCGCATGGCACAGCCAACGGGGGCGATTTGTAAACAGACCATATGTCGGGCGCTGGCCATAACGTTGCGCCTGCACGTCCCGAGGGGGCTCCCAAGAGCTGCTGTGGGATACGTTGGGTGCAACGGGCGCATGGCACAGCCAAAGGGGGCGATTTGTCATTACGTAGCCCTTAGATCTTGATCGGGGGCTTGCGAGCTTTCCGATTGCTGCTCGCAAAATCACATGCGTCCACGTTACGCCATCGCCGCCGTTGTAGCAATCCTGATTTACTTATGCCCCGCATTGCGCAAGGGTTAGGTACTTCGCCAGGGTAATTGTTACAAGACGTTGTCTGGATTCCCTTGGTTCCTTGGTTCCTTAGCTCCTCGATCTTGGTTCCTCGGTTCCTTGGTCTTGTTGTTTGGGGTCCCTCGTCTCGGTTCCTTGGTTCCTTGTTCTCAGTTCCTTGGTGTCTTGCTATTCGTTCCTTGACTCCTTGGTCTTGGTTTCTTGATGCCTTGGTCTTCGTTACTTGGTTCCTTGGTCTTGGTTGCTTGATGTTAGCTCCTCGCTGCATCGCGCCGGCTCTATCTTTTAAGTCCCATGCGTTGAATCGACTGCCACGCTGCGTGATTTGAGTTCTTCATGGGCATGCGTCTAGTTCATACTGCGACGTATTCATTGCCTTTGCATTGTCTTCTTTCCGTGGCAATCGCATTGGATGATGCCCAGCAGCACGACCCCATCGATCTCGTTTGAAATTGCGAGACAGAAGGTTTGTAAATGCATTGCGTTGCATCGGGGATGTGCCGTGACGTGCTTACGATGCAATGCCAGCCATTGCAAAGCTATGCAAGGGGAGCAATGAAAACACATGACCCGTGGACGTCCCGTCTCCACCTTCCGCCTGCAAGTTCCCAACCGACATGCGCAGCATGCGAGAGCCGATCACGATAGTTCCCTGATCGCCCGCATATCCCAATGGAACCACTTCGATGCAACACCGCAGGCACGTTGTGTAGAATGGGATGTCGTCCATTTCTGGCAGCGTCACGTTCGCAATCTCTGTCGCGCGGCGCTCGTTGGGTGCGCGTCGCTGCCGACGGCACGCGGCGTAATCTTGCATGAGCTGCAGCACTCTGTCGCGAAATGCTTTGGCGGCTCAGTCTCCCGCCCTTCTGCTGCCCCGTAGCCTGGCCCACGAAATCCTTGTTCTCCGTATTCGTCTCGCCAAGGTTTTGTGTTGCGAGCCGCGATTCAAGCATAAGCTAGGCAACTGCTGGGAGTGCTTCAATTGCGCTGGTTAATGATGGCGGTTGGGAAGTAGGTGCTCCCCACGGAACCCCTGAATGTGTGCGTCTTCCATGCGTCGGATCGCCGAGTCGACCTCTTGGAACACATCTGCGTTGTTCAGGATTGCGGGCTTTTGAGCGCCTCTTTGTCGGAGTGGTAGCATCGCGACCGGGTGGATGGCCTCGGGCGCGCTCGAGCCACACCGCTGCGAGCATCACCGAACGCGTGACATGGTGGAGCCTGACGTGGTGGCATGATTGCATGTGCGTGGACCAGCGAACGCGTGACACGGTCGAGTCTGGTGTGCTGGTGGCGGGGGAGTCCGAGGAAACGGGCAACGTAACAACAGGAGGCACAGGGTGCGAGGAACCCGAGGAACCTGGGAAACCTGGGGAACCCGAGGAGCCTCCGAGGAACGGGCGACGTAACAATAGGAGGCACCGGGTGCAGGCAAGGCGAGCAACGCGAGGAACTTCCCGGCAACGGGCAACGTAAGAATAGGAGGCACCAACCTTTATCCAAGGAAGACCCCAGGGAAACATATTCGCCGAAGCGCAGGACAACAAAAACAGCTCCAGGATTAGAAGCAGAACCAGAACCAGAACCAGAGAAAACGGCAGAACTTGTACAAGGAAACGAATGCCTTGTTGCTTCCAAGAATCATTGAGATATTGGCCACCCAGAGATCCTTCGTGCTGAACAAATCGAGGCACATGTAGCTGTTTCAACGCTTTCAGCCCTTGGCTGGTCCTAGGGCTGTCAGGAAATGACTCAGGATGAGAAGCTGATCGCTGGGAACCGGTCGAGATGTCCAGGGACCTCGTGTGATCGTTTTCTTATTCATTGTTTTGCCGATCTGCGCGGGCAATCGCACCTCCCCCTCCTCCCCCCATGGAGTAGATCTTTACTGTTTTAGGCGCCTGTCTCGAGCAGGTGGAGTCTCCCCCACAAGACGCACTGTTGCAAACACTCGCATTGAACAGTGGTCCAGAGCCAGACCCCCCCCTCCTCCCCCCCTTTGCCCAGTGCCGAAACGCCGAGATAGAAAACGTTCACCGTATGGAACGACTCAAGAGACATCGGATCCCTGGGCAGGCCCCTTCCTGGGCCCAGGATCGGAGCACAGGTTTCCCTGGCAACGCCGGGAGGGTGTGCCCAGATCCCTGGCGACAGGATTGTGTGAATTGGGGAGGTCTTCCTCTATGTTGATGATGATGGTGATGATGATGATGATGATGATGATGATGTTGTTGTTGATGATGATGATGCTGATGATGATGATGATGATGATGATGATGATGATGATGATGACGATGACGATGACGATGAGGTTGATCATGACGATGACGATGTCGATGTGATGGTGCTGCTGCTGATGATGAGGATGATGATGGTGATGATGATGATGATGATGCTGCTGATGATGATGATGATGATGATGCTGATCATGATGATGATGGTGGTGGTGGTGATGATGCTGATGACAGTGTTGTGTGAATCGGGGAGGTCTTCCTCCGTTTCGGTATCCGGACCATGAGACATCGATCCGGGAAGAAACAGAACCCCCCAGAATAGCGGACGAGACATCTGAGGCGCGGATGTAATCAACGCAGACGGGCGGACGGCCGGGTTCGGTGCACAGGCGCCCCTGGCCAGGGCAGGAGCGAGTATGTGCCGTTTCTCCAGGCTCAGGATGGGTCCGGTCAGGATGAGTATATTTGTGTGTGTGTTTGTTGTCGTGTATATTTGTGTATTTGTTTGTTTCTGTGTGTTTGTGCTTTTGTGTGTGTAGTGTGTGTGTGTTCTCCTGAGGGAGGCGGGTCCTGGGCCCTGGCGCCTTCCGCCAGGACCGGCTCCTCGACCGCACTCGGTTCCAGAGTCCCGGGCCTCGGAGAGGGTCGGTGCGCGCCCCGTCGACTCGGCGACGATCAGGAGAGAAAAAAACATACAGACACAATTCATCGTCGATTCCCCAGAAAATGTGGGAACATATGGGAAGTGGGGGGGAAGACAATAAGCCAGAACATATAGGAACATATGGGGAGTCCTTTTATTTATGTGTATTTATTTGTGTGTCCCAGGGCCCCTTCAGACGACCGCACCGCGCGCGGTCAAGGTTGAAGGTCACCTGCGGCCTGAACTCGTCCACGGCTGAATGAGCTGGGCTTTCGGGGAGTCGCGGCCGCTGAAGGTTGAACGACCCACGCGGTGTCAGAAATCGACGCCCAAGCTCCGACGACACGAGCTCGCCGCATGCGTCCTCTGCCAGGCGAGGAGTCGGGGGCGAAACACATATCCGTGTCCGCGGCCTCGCTGTCCGAGCCCCTTGGCCGCGACCCCGCGGGCACGGGGCGTTTTTGGTTGCAGATGCCCTGCGCGCAGCGTGTCCGTGCGACCGCGTGTCCGCGGAAGCGCGCCCCAGAATCCAGAGGCGCGGATGCGGGTATCTATCGCCGCTCGCGGGGGAGGGCGGGTGCACCGATCTTGGGCCCGTGATGGGCCGCAGGATGTGTGTGTACTATGTCAAGAGACACCCTGCTCGCCTCCAGGGTGCCCTGGGTTTCTTAGGCTTCGATGGTTTTGCGATGGACAGCGTGGCGTTCCCGCGCCAAAAGTCAATGGACGTCCTAGGGTCTCAGGGTTGGGCTTTTTGCGGAAGGTTTCTGGTGGATCGGCCCCCCAATGTAGGTGTACCCATGCAGACACCCGACGTCGTGATTTTTGTCGCTCGCCAGTGGACTGGACCCCTTCCCTAGGCCCAGCTTCCCATCCGGAGCCGGTTGTTTGGCGGTTTTGCATGCCGAACACAGCGTCGTGAAGTTTCCCGCGCCGCGCAACTCCGGGGATGTTCAATTCAGCCTGGGCGCTGGCATATCCGTGGTCGAAAACCTGCCCAACCCGGCTCAGCCTGGCTGGCTAAGTCAGGCGGCTGGCTAAGTCAGGCGTAGTCCGGCTTCATGGCTTTATGCATCGGGCTTATCAGTTTTTACACATAGTTCCCACGACGATCTCCAACGAGTTTCCTGTTTCACAGGCGCACTCAAGGCGCGGGGGAATCTATGTGTTGCCGAGGATACCCGTGTCCAAAGAAGTTCTGTCAATCCTTCCTGTGTCGTGCTTACCTGAGATCAGACGTCTCGAAAAAATGCAACTTCGTGAAACATCACGACTGGAGCATCATCACAATTTGTCTGCGGTAGTTTCAGAGCCGGATCGATTCGCGATGGTCCTTTGGCACGAATCCTGCTTAAACCAGCCATGGCGACAGATCGAGCAACGTCCAGATCTAAGGGGTGGGTGCTCTTCCATCGAAGCAGTCCCTTTCGACCCGATCGGTCTGATTCGATTTTGGATTCGCCTGGCTCGATCTGATTCGATATCGTCGCTCTTACTAATTATCCGATGCGGCTCGATGTTGTGCATGTTGCGCGGCCGATCCGGTTCGATTCTGACCTCGTGCCAACGCGGCCTGGTTCGATGCACGTTCCGATCCGTTCCGATGTGTCGATTCGATGCTGGCCGTTCTGGTCCGGATCAGTCCGTATCCGTCGTGGGGAAATCGGATCGGATCAGAGTGCGCGCCGGATCGGGCTGCATTGGCACGGAACTTGGATCGACTCGGATAGGCCGCGCCAGGATGCACCACAGCGCCATGCAAGCACATCGGGCCGCACCAGACTCACGGAGCATTGTCATCGCATCGGACCGAAGTGGCCGAACCTGACATCGTCTGGGACCGATCGGCTCGAATCGGCGGCGATGGAGGGGGGGAAGTGAGAAGGAGAAAGCCTTTTCAGAAGGTTGAAGGTTCGGAAGTCCCCTGGCCTTCTGAGACGTCTCCGAAGCATTTCCGCAAGACCAACCAGAACTCCTCGGAAGGCGCGAGGGCTTTTGAGACGTCTCGCAGCCTTCTGAGAAGGCCTCCTCCTTCTCGCTTCCCCCCCTCGCTCGCCGCTGACAGACAGTCGGGCCGAACGAAAGGGGGGATAGGGAAAGGGGGTCTCGAAATCTGCTGCGTGCAGCGGGTTCCGGCCCCGCCGCCGGGCCCCTTCCTCGATAGGCGCCTCCCGGCGCCGGGAGGCGCTGGGAAAAGCAGCTACGCGAGCTGATTCTCTACCCTGCCCTTTGCTATCCCCCCCTTCCGCCCCCCCCCCCCCTTGAGACAGGTGCGGGAGCGCCAGGCGCGCGCGGCCCCGCGCGGCGGCGGCCAGAGCCGGCGCCCGCACCGCGCGGAGCTCTCTCCGCTCGGGCCGCTGGCGGCCGCGCAGCCCGGCGGCGCGCCGAGGGCGCCCCCGCTGGCGCAGCTGCCGCTGGAGCGCCCGGGCACGGCCGGAAACGGGCCCCACGGCGTGCGGGGAGGCTTCACGGATGGGGTCGGAGGAGGTTCGGTGGACCCAGAAGAGTGACGAATGAACAACACACACCCATACCCATAGGGAGGTCGTTGGGGGGAGGGCTGGCTCTGGGTATGGGTGGGGTTGTCGGACCCTGGGGAACGCTCCCGTTCGAGCGGGGACCCCCATCCGACAACACGCAACCATGCCCTCTCCGATCCCCCTATGGGTATGGGTGTGTGTTGTTGGTTCGTCAAAGAGGGTATAGCCAGGCCTCTGGGCAAGGGGACCCGGTTAGTGGTAGGGCCCCAGGGCCCCCAAATTGGCCAGAGTCGCCAAACCAGGTCTGCCGCAGCTGGTGTTTTTCCCAACCATCCTGTGGTGTTGGGTCCTCGTTTTGAAGAGACGGTGCCCCGCGTTCCCTCCTCCTCCCGCTGCCCCCTCCCTCCTGCATCATCATCATCATCATCATCATCATCATCATCATCATCATCATCATCATCATCATCATCATCATCATCATCAGCATCCATCATCATCATCATCATCATCATCATCATCATCATCATCATCATCATCATCATCATCATCATCATCATCATCATCATCATCATCATCATCATCATCATCATCATCATCATCATCATCCCCCCTCTTCCCTGCGTTTCACCCACCCAGTACAGCGTTTCGTAGCCCCATAGGAGCTCCACCGAAGGCCCCAGTACCCGCGCCCGCATGCGTCACCCACACCCATTTCGGCACACCCCTCACACGTTTCGTGGCTCCATAGGGAGCTCCACCGAAGGCCCCAGTGCCCGCGCCCGCATGCGTCACCCACACCCATTTCGGCACACCCCTCACACGTTTCGTGGCTCCATAGGGAGCTCCACCGAAGGCCCCAGTGCCCGCGCCCGCATGCGTCACCCACACCCATTTCGGCACACCCCTCACACGTTTCGTGGCCCCATAGGGAGCTCCACCAGTCACCCACACCCATTTCGGCACACCCCTCACACGTTTCGTGGCTCCATAGGGAGCTCCACCGAAGGCCCCAGTGCCCGCGCCCGCATGCGTCACCCACACCCATTTCGGCACACCCCTCACACGTTTCGTGGCTCCATAGGGAGCTCCACCGAAGGCCCCAGTGCCCGCGCCCGCATGCGTCACCCACACCATTTCGGCACACCCCTCACACGTTTCGTGGCTCCATCACCCCTCACCGAAGGCCCCAGCTCCGAAGGCCCCAGTGCCCGCGCCCGCATGCGTCACCCACACCCATTTCGGCACACCCCTCACACGTTTCGTGGCTCCATAGGGAGCTCCACCGAAGGCCCCAGTGCCCGCGCCCGCATGCGTCACCCACACCCATTTCGGCACACCCCTCACACGTTTCGTGGCTCCATAGGGAGCTCCACCGAAGGCCCCAGTGCCCGCGCCCGCATGCGTCACCCACACCCATTTCGGCACACCCCTCACACGTTTCGTGGCTCCATAGGGAGCTCCACCGAAGGCCCCAGTGCCCGCGCCCGCATGCGTCACCCACACCCATTTCGGCACACCCCTCACACGTTTCGTGGCTCCATAGGGAGCTCCACCGAAGGCCCCAGTGCCCGCGCCCGCATGCGTCACCCACACCCATCGGCGTCGGGAGCTCCACCGAAGGCCCCAGTGCCCGCGCCCGCATGCGTCGCCACACCCATTTCGGCACACCCCTCACACGTTTCGTGGCTCCATAGGGAGCTCCACCGAAGGCCCCAGTGCCCGCGCCCGCATGCGTCACCCACACCCATTTCGGCACACCCCTCACACGTTTCGTGGCTCCATAGGGAGCTCCACCGAAGGCCCCAGTGCCCGCGCCCGCATGCGTCAGCCACACCCATTTCGGCACACCCCTCACACGTTTCGTGGCCCCATAGGGAGCTCCGCCGAAGGCCCCAGTGCCCGCGCCCGCATGCGTCAGCCACACCCATTTCGGCACACCCCTCACACGTTTCTTGGCCCCATAGAGAGCTCCACCGAAGGCCCCAGTGGGTGTGCCCGCATGCGTCCCGCACACCCATTTCGGCACACCCCTCGTACGTTTCGTGGCCCCGTAGGGGGCTCCACCGAGAAGATATTCACAATTGTAGTATTCACAATTTCATATGGTTGGGTCCTTCGCCAGGATAATTTCTGGTGACGGCGGTTTCGGTTAGTGGAACGGGGCGGGGGGGGGGCGTTCCCAAAGTACACATCGCGCTAAACCAGGTCCCACGAAACCCAGTTCTGCCAGCGCCCGACAAAAAGGGGTCCAGCGACAATGGGGTGGTGCAGTATATTTGGTGCAATAGATTTGTGGGGTGGCAATAAACGTGCAACACATTCCAGTGCGCAAGTGTCTTGCTGGGTTTTTGCGTGCAATACGTCAGTTGCCATACAATGCAATAGTTACAGTTCTCTGGCGCAACACATTTGCAACGCAATTGACCCAAACTGCAGCTCGCCGTCTCCCGTGCCGAACAGTTCACCGACTCCCACGCTGTCCAGCCCTTTAACTCCTGCGTCGACCAGGTCGCCGACTCCCGCGCCGGCCAACTGCCGACTCCCGCACCGACCAGCCGATTCCCGCGCCGCTCGGCTCACCGACTCCCGCGCCCACCAGCTCACCGACTCCCGCGCCGATCATCCCACCGACTCCAGTGCCGACCATATCACCGACTCCAGCCTCGATCGGTGCACCGTCTCTCGCACGGATCAGCTCACCGACTCCCACGCCGACCAACCCCCATTTGAGCCAGAGGATTGTCCCACGACTGTGCAACATGAGCAGCCGCATCACGACTGTGACACAGCAGAAGGAGCCATATTTTGTTGGTGCCATTTTTGTTGGCCTCCTTCACGCTGCTTCCACCTTTACCGCATCACGGGTGAGCACCGCGTCGATGGCCAGCACTGTTTCACCAAGCCGGCCATGGTGTCGACCAGGGAAAAGGGGGCACGTCTTGGGAGCCTCCGTCCTGGCAGAGTGGCCGATACCGCCGAGAGTATCGACTGCATCGTCACCAACTGCATGCTGCCTGCGACGCTGGAGTCGAGCATTTGATCACAGCCTGAACCACGCTACTCCACTCAGACGCCTGCGTGGTCACATTTACCTGGCCAGCTGCGGGGACGTCGTCCCGGCCGACCTGGCAGAAGACCGATGGTAGTGCATGGCGGCAAGACCTGGGCTTTGCTACGGCGTACTCCCTCTTCCACATCAGAGGCGAGCACAGTGTCGTCACCGACCCCAGTTGCTTCAGCTTCGTCTCTGAGTACACCTCCGACGCCGATGTGGTGACGTCTACCTGGCCAGAAGCGTGCGCCGCCCTCTGGTTCGCAGCACCGTGGCCCTGGCGGCCGTCCCGGGCATGATATGAGGGCTATCTGGTTGACGGGTTCCCCCGCCCTTCTCTCCTGGCTCTCTCCGTTGCGTCCTGCGTTTCTAGTTTGTGCATGCGCTCCGGGGCCAGTCGTGCAGCTCCATGGGTGGCCGGCGCTCGTCGCCTCCCCCAGAGTTCCTATTCCATTCTTTCTTTCTAGTCGTTTTTTTCGGCCACCCGCACCACAGGTGTGTGCGCCCAGCCGCGCTCGACGGCCAGGTGGTGATTTTTACGTCCGCTGGTCTGTTCGTTAGGTATACTTCTCGTCGCTGTCCGCGCCCCTCCTTGCCTTCCTCCCCCCCGCTCCCCGCTCTTTCGGCCGTTCAGCTGCGGCCCGATGATAGTTCGTGGTTGTTTTGTTGCTGGCGTTGACCCTGTAGGGTGAGCCACAGGTGCCGCCGCAGCCACTGCTTGTCGCCCGGCGTGGCTTGGCACTTCACCGCCCGAGGCCTTGGGAACCCGCGGGCGCCTTGAGATCTCAAATGGGGCACAAAAAATTAGCCTGGCGAAGAACCCAACCATATGCAGTTGTCAGTACCGCAGCTGCGGGTTTCATCTTCAATGGAACTCCCCATAGGATGACGGAACGTGTGAGGGGTGTGCCGAGATGGGTGCCACTGGGGCATTCGGCGAAGCTCCCTATGGGGACATGAAACACGCGCGGGGCGTGCTGACATGGGTGGCGGAAACGCATGTGCGGGCCGCCACTGGGGCCTCCAGTGGAGCTCCCTATGGGTCCCCGAAACATGATGCTGCTGCGGGGGGGGGGGCCGGGATGGGTGGCGGAGACGCATGTAAGCGCCGCTACTGGGGCCTTCGGTGGAGCTCCCTATGGGGCCACGAAGCGCGTGAGGGGTGTATTGGGATGTGTGGCGGGGACGCATGTGAGCGCCGCCACTGGGGCCTTCGGTGCAGCTCTCTATGGGGCCACGAAACGTGTGAGGGGTGTGCCGAATTGGGTGCGGGTGGTGACGCATGCGGGCGGCAGCACTGGGGCCTTCGGTGGAGCTCCCCATGGGGCCACGAAACCTGTTGTTGTGAGGGGCGTGCCGGGATGGGTGGCGGGGACGCATGTGAGCGCGGCCGCTGGGGCCTTCGGTGGAGCTCCCTATGGGGCCACGAAACGTGTGAGGGGTGTGCCGAATTGGGTGGGTGTGGGTGACGCATGTGAGCGCCGCCACTGGGGCCTCCGGTGGATGATGGGGCCACGAAACCTGTCAGGGATGTGCCGAAATGGGTGTGCGGGGCGCATGCGCATGTGAGCGCCGCCACTGGGGCCTTCGGTGGAGCTCCCTATGGGGCCACGAAGCGTGTGAGGGGTGTGCCGAAATGGGTGTGGTGACGCATGCGGGCGCGGGCACTGGGGCCTTCGGTGGAGCTCCCTATGGGGCACGAAACGTGTGAGGGGTGTGCCGAAATGGGTGTGGGTGACGCATGCGGGCGCGGGCACTGGGGCCTTCGGTGGAGCTCCCTATGGAGCCACGAAACGTGTGAGGGGTGTGCCGAAATGGGTGTGGACGCATGCGGGCGCGGGCACGGTGGAGCTCCCTATGCGGGCGCGGTGCACTGTGGGACGCATTCTGGGGTGGAGCTCCCTATGGAGCCACGAAACGTGTGAGGGGTGTGCCGAAATGGGTGTGGGTGACGCATGCGGGCGCGGGCACTGGGGCCTTCGGTGGAGCTCCCTATGGAGCCACGAAACGTGTGAGGGGTGTGCCGAAATGGGTGTGGGTGACGCATGCGGGCGCGGGCACTGGGGCCTTCGGTGGAGCTCCCTATGGAGCCACGAAACGTGTGAGGGGTGTGCCGAAATGGGTGTGGGTGACGCGTGCGGGCGCGGGCACTGGGGCCTTCGGCGGAGCTCCCTATGGAGCCACGAAGCGTGTGAGGGGTGTGCCGAAATGGGTGTGGGTGACGCATGCGGGCGCGGGCACTGGGGCCTTCGGTGGAGCTCCCTATGGAGCCACGAACGTGTGAGGGGTGTGCCGAAATGGGTGTGGGTGACGCATGCGGGCGCGGGCACTGGGGCCTTCGGTGGAGCTCCCTATGGGGCCACGAAACGTGTGAGGGGTGTGCCGAAATGGGTGTGGGTGACGCATGCGGGCGCGGGCACTGGGGCCTTCGGTGGAGCTCCCTATGGCGCCACGAAACGTGTGAGGGGTGTGCCGAAATGGGTGTGGGTGACGCATGCGGGCGCGGGCACTGGGGCCTTCGGTGGAGCTCCCTATGGAGCCACGAAGCGAGTGAGGGGTGTGCCGGAATGGGTGTGGGTGACGCATGCGGGCGCGGGCACTGGGGCCTTCGGGGGAGCTCCCTATGGAGCCACGAAGCGGTGTACTGGGTGGGCGAAGAGGAGAGGAGGAGAGGAGGGGAGGAGAGGAGGAGAGGAGATGAGAGGAGAGGAGAGGAGAGGAGAGGAACGCGGGGCACCGTCTCTTCAAAACGAGGACCCAACACCACAGGATGGTTGGGAACAATTGACCCAAACTGATTGCACCACCCCCTTCCAGCTGGACGCCATCTTGCGCCAACCAAAGGGGATGGGGTCGGAGGAGCGCGCCGCATCGTCGATACATTGGCAATGTCGGCGAGGAGAAATAGAGCTCCACATCGAGCCGCATGGCCGATGCATCGGCGATGCGGCGCGATCCGCTGACCCAATTCATGCGGAACCCCGCTGGGAGGCCCAGGCTCTTCGCGTCGTGAAAATCGAGCCCCTCTCGCGTCGTGACAAAAACACTACGGGAGGTTTGTTGCTATGTTCGGCCTGAGGTGGCCCTCGCTGGGCCCTGGGACCGTCAGAAAGCGACTCCGGATCAATACAACACCGTCTCACCCACGGCCCTCCATGTTGCGCTACGGCCCATCGGGCGCCGTAGCGTATACCACGCAAAAAAATTATCCTGGCGAAGGACCCAACCATATGCAATTGTGAATATTGCAATTGTGAATATCTTCTCGGTGGAGCCCCCTACGGGGCCACGAAACGTGTGAGGAGTGTGCCGAAATGGGTGTGCGGGACGCATGCGGGCACACCCACTGGGGCCTTCGGTGGAGCTCCCTATGGGGCCACGAAGCGTGTGAGGGGTGTGCCGAAATGGGTGTGCGGGACGCATGCGGGCACACCCACTGGGACCTTCGGCGGAGCTCCCTATGGGGCCACGGAACGCGTGAGGGGCGTGCCGAAATGGGTGTGGCTGACGCATGCGGGCGCGGGCACTGGGGCCTTCGGCGAGCTCCTATGGGGCCACGAAACGTGTGTGTGCGCGAAATGGGTGTGGCTGACGCATGCGGGCGCGGGCACTGGGGCCTTCGGTGGAGCTCCCTATGGAGCCACGAAACGTGTGAGGGGTGTGCCGAAATGGGTGTGGGTGACGCATGCGGGCGCGGGCACTGGGGCCTTCGGTGGAGCTCCCTATGGAGCCACGAAGCGTGTGAGGGGTGTGCCGAAATGGGTGTGGGTGACGCATGCGGGCGCGGGCACTGGGGCCTTCGGTGGAGCTCCCTATGGGGCCACGAAACGTGTGAGGGGTGTGCCGAAATGGGTGTGGGTGACGCATGTGGGCGCGGGCACTGGGGCCTTCGGTGGGCTCCCTATGGGGCCACGAAACGTGTGAGGGGTGTGCCGAATTGGGTGTGGCTGCCGCATGCGGGCGGCAGCACTGGGGCCTTCGGCGGGGCTTCTACTATGGGGCCACGAAGCGTGTGAGGGGTGTGCCGAATTGTGTGTGGGCGACGCATGCAGGCGGCAGCACTGGGACCTTCGGCGGAGCTCCTATGGGGCCACGAAACGTGTGAGGGGTGTGCCGAAATGGGTGTGGGTGACGCATGCGGGCGCGGGCACTGGGGCCTTCGGCGGAGCTCCCTATGGAGCCACGAAACGTGTGAGGGGTGTGCCGAAATGGGTGTGGGTGACGCATGCGGGCGCGGGCACTGGGGCCTTCGGTGGAGCTCCCTATGGAGCCACGAAACGTGTGAGGGGTGTGCCGAAATGGGTGGGTGACGCATGCGGGCGCGGGCACTGGGGCCTTCGGTGGAGCTCCCTATGGAGCCACGAAACGTGTGAGGGGTGTGCCGAAATGGGTGTGGGGGACGCATGCGGCCGCGGGCACTGGGGCCTTCGGTGGAGCTCCCTATGGAGCCACGAAACGTGTGAGGGGTGTGCCGAAATGGGTGTGGGTGACGCATGCGGGCGCGGGCACTGGGGCCTTCGGTGGAGCTCCCTATGGAGCCACGAAACGTGTGAGGGGTGTGCCGAAATGGGTGTGGGTGACGCATGCGGCCGCGGGCACTGGGGCCTTCGGTGGAGCTCCCTATGGAGCCACGAAACGTGTGAGGGGTGTGCCGAAATGGGTGTGGGTGACGCATGCGGCCGCGGGCACTGGGGCCTTCGGTGGAGCTCCCTATGGAGCCACGAAACGTGTGAGGGGTGTGCCGAAATGGGTGTGGGTGACGCATGCGGGCGCGGGCACTGGGGCCTTCGGTGGAGCTCCCTATGGAGCCACGAAGCGGTGTACTGGGTGGGTGAAGAGGAGAGGAGGAGAGGAGGGGAGGAGAGAGGAGAGGAGAGGAGAGGAGAGGAGAGGAGAGGAGAGGAGAGGAGAGGAGAGGAGAGGAGAGGAGAGGAACGCGGGGCACCGTCTCTTCAAAACGAGGACCCAATACCACAGGATGGTTGGGACAAACACGCCAGATCTCCAGGGATAGGATAGGCCCCCCCTGGGGCCGAAGGTTGGGTGGTGTTGTTTTCCTGGTCCAATGAAGGGCCTCTCCCCAGGAGTGGGTTGAGACTTCCAGGGGCCCCGCATGGAAGAAGCCAAGGCATCGGACCTCAGAGTCCTTGGGCCGTGGAAACATACGGCGCCCGTGCGGCAGAAAACCCCGAGCGGCCTCACGCAGGCACGACGAAGGAAACACAACAATGGGGGCCAGCAGGCCCCCGATCTCCAGGGCCTGGCCAAACTTGGGGATAACGGTGGGGGGGCAACGGGCAACGACAGGGGGCAACGATGGGGGGGCAACGATGGGCAACGGGAGGCAGCGATGGGGGGAAGCGCACCCCGATTTGTTTTGTTTGGGCCCAGGCTGCGTGGGGGAGGATGGGCGTCATGTCCCAAGAGGGGGAGCATGGAGGAGGAATCGAAGGAGGAGCAGGAGGAGGAGGATGAGGAGGAGAAGGAGGAGGCGGAGGAGGAGGAGGCGGAGGAGGAGGAGGAGGAGAGGAAAGGGGAGGAGGAATGAGGGAGGAGGGACTAGGCGGATCAGGAGGAGGAGGAGCGGAGCAGGAGGAGGAGGAGGAGGAGGAGGAGGAGGAGGAGAGGAAGGAGGAGGAGGAGGAGGAGGAGGAGGAGGAGGAGGAGGAGGAGGAGGAGGAGGAGAGGAAGGAGGAGGAGGAGGAGGAAGAGGAGGAGGAGGAGGAGGAGGAGGAGGAGGAGGAGGAGGAGATGGAGGAGGAGTAGCTGGAGGAGGGAACAGGGCGATCAGAAAAAGCCAGAGGTATCTTGGATGCCCTTCGAGGTATCTTCGGAGGTCTGTCTCTCTCTCTCTCTCTCTCTCTCTCTCGAGAGAGAGAGAGAGAGAGAGAGAGAGAGAGAGAGAGGGAGAGAGAGAGAGAGGGAGAGAGAGAGAGAGAGCTTCTTCGAATTCTCTTGAGGGGTCTTGGGGGCTCTTGGCGGCCCGGGGAGCATCTTGGTGCGTCTTGGAGGCCTCGGGGGAGCCTTGGGCCCTCTTGGGGGGTTCTTGGGAGCCTCTCGGGGACCTCTTGGGGGTCGCTTGGGGCATCCTGGGCGCCTCTCGCGGTCCTCTTGGTTCACTCTTGAGAGCCTTGGGGGCTATCTTGGGGACATCTTGGAGGAGCTCGACGAGAGAAGGGGGGGCTCAACTAGGCCCCAGGACGCCAAAACAACGCCTCGCGGAACGCCATGTCAAGGGCCTGGAGAAGAAGAAGGGGTGTGGATGAGGAAACGCTCTTTACCACTCACGCCCCAAAGCTCTGGCGGGATTTCGGGCCCCGTGGTGCTTTCCAGCAGCCGCGCCTCGTCCAGCGCTTTCCAGGGGTGCCCAAATCGTCCCGAAAGCCTGGCCTCTTCGTGTCGCGACAAAATGACGGCGGGAGGTTTTTGGCCGTTTCCCAATTCGGGCGCCCTGGGCCGTCCAAACGGCTCGGGATGAGATGAGAAGCCGGTCCCCGAGAAGGGGTCCAGACCACGGGGAGTTGTTAAACAATCGCGCTCCGTGCAGTCTGGGAGTAGGTCCTTTCTGTTGCTCCTGATGCTCTCTGCGCTCCCAAGCGACCCACACGTGTGTGCGAGTAAGCAAGCAAGTCCGCATGGCCCCCTTTACGCTCCGGTCTGGACCGCTTGGGGACGCACGGGATCGGAGCGGGGGGCAAGGCCGACAGCAGCCCTTGCCCAACCTGAGCAGGACTCGCGGGCGAAAAACATTTATCCGCATCCGCAGCCTCGCCCCCTGGTCGCGCGACCCCGCGGACACGGGGCGTTTCTTGTCTGCGGATGCCCCGCGCGGAGCGCATGCGTGCGGCCGCGTATCCGCGGGAGCGCGCCCCAGAGTCCTGGCCGCGAGGGCGCGGCTGCGGAGGTGCTCGCCGCCCGTGGAGAGCTTGGTGCCGGTATCCGCCGCGGGCGCGCGGCCCACTCGAGGCAGACGCCAGCCGCCCGCCCAACAGGCGGCCGCGGTCGATCCTGGACAGCCTTCGCTGGTGGGCATCGTGCCTCATTGTTGCTCCCCCTCTGTCCACCTTGGCCGCCCACCTTGACATCCGCCGATCTGAGTTTTTCAATCCGCGGCCCCAGAGGTCCCGACCCGCAAGCGCAGCTTTTCGTCCCGGACCCCTGTTTGATGCTCCGAGGGCCGCATCGAGGAAACACGGGCGGACGACCGACTCAGATCGTCGGAGGTCTGGGCAGAGGAGCCGCTGGGACCGCCCAAGCCGTCCGCCGGCAGCGCGGTGCGGCACACGAGGTCCGATTCCGCGCTGCGCGCGACGGCCGTGCGGCGGCATGTGCCGCTGGTGCCCCTGGCGGGGCCGCCGGTGTCCGCCGCCGGGGGCGGCCTCGGCCAGCAGGCGTCCCCGCTGGCGCCGCGGGCGGACCATGGCGCCGCCACCGGCAGGCGAAGGAGCTCCTCGGAGGCCGCCCTGCCGCCGCCGGCGCCCTCGCCTGCGAGGCAGCCCCTGCGGGAGCCCGCGCAGGGCGGCGGCGGCAGCCTCAGCCCAGCCGCCCGCCACCAGTCCTCGCCGTCGGGCACCAGCCAGCCGCTGGCGGCGGTCGGCGCCAGCCCGCCGGCGGCCACAGCAGCCGCGGACGCGGCGCGCGCGCCCGCGAGCGCGGGCGGGGCCAGCGCAGCGCCGCGCCTCGGCGGCGGCAGCGGGGCCGCCGCCGCAGCGCCGCCGCCGACCGTCCGCCGCGTGGCGACGGAGCCGCGCGACGCGGCGGCCGCGGCGCTCGTTCGCCGCGTGGCGGCGGAGCCGATCGGCGCCGCGCCGTCGACGCCCGCCGGCCAGGGCGGGGCGCCGAGCCGCTCGACGAGTCTGGCGCCCGCGGGCCCCGCTGGCGACGCGCCGAGCCGCTCGTCGAGCCCGCCGCGCAGAGGGACTCCCGGGGTGGGGGGCTCTGGCGGTTCACGTGCGGCGGGTTTGCGTCGTGTCGACGCGGCGGCGACCTCGCCGCGGGCGCTCGATGTTCAGCGCCGACCATCCGTCGATGTTGAACGATCCGCCGCTTTGCACAGCGCCGCTCGCTCAAGGTTGAGCGATCCACGCGGTGCCAGGGACACCGCGGAACTCGTCACGACACGAATCGGCCAGTACCACACACGGTCAGCTGCCTGGGTCAAGCACGACGCCTGGGCGGGAGCAGGTGCCCCACGTGAGTGCTTCTGTTCCACGATGGCACTTATGGACCGATCTGGATTCTCGGCTGCCCTACGGAGCTTGGGATCGACGATGAAAGCGTCCCAGACGCCTCCGTCGAATCACCGCCGCCCCCTGCCTTCTGCACGCAATTTTCTGTTGCGAGAAATGTCGAGCGAAGGTGCGTTCATGCTGGTGGTCCGCGTGTTGCCCCAGCGCTTGGGGGCACCTTCGGGGAACGCTTGGGAGAGGGCCATCTTGGGGCTGGTTTGGGATTCACCTCGGGTCATTTGGGACCTTCCGGGGGGGCTCTTAGGGCTCTCGTGGGGCTCTCTCTTGGGCCACTGCGGGGCTCCCTCGGGCTGTACCAGTGCGCTCTCGGGCTACGGACCGTCTGTGGGATCTCCGGGGGTGTTTTCAGGGCCGTCTTAGGACTGCCTCGGGTTGTCTTGGGGCCCATTTGTGCCGTTGTAAGGTCGTCTGGAGTCAGGAGAGGACAACACACACACAGACACAATTAATCGTCGATCCCCAGGAAAAGATGGGAAAACATGGGAAGAGGGGGGGAAGACAGAAACCCAGAACATATGGGAACATATGGGGAATCCTTTGATTTGTGTGTGTGTGTGTTTATTTGTGTGTCCCAGGGCCCCTTTTAAAGAGTCTAGACGCCGTCTTTCTCTCTCTCTCTCTCTCTTTCTGTCTCGATGTCTCGCAGCACACCTCTCTCGTTTACCCTTGTCTATCTGGCCGCTTCTCTTGCATGGTCCATCGATCCGTTCGTTACTGCAGCACGTCGGCGCGAAACGGGCGCTCTTGGGAGGGGATGAGCCAGCGCTTGGCCGGACATACAAAAAAAACAAAAGCCATATCATCCGGCACGCCAGGCACCCCTTTGATAAATCAAAAGGGGGCGGCGGATCTCGTGCACTCCGGCCCTTCGGCCCGTCCCGCCACCGTGCCCAGGGCCGTGGAGACGAGAGGCCTTTGCGATGCCTCTGGGGGGTCTCTCGGGGGCCTCTGGGAGTTTCTTGGGGGGCCTCGTGTTGGTCTGCTGGCCGTCCTCTGGGCCATGGCAGTTCAATTTCCCCCTGCTGGGCCCTCCTGGGGTCTCACGTGAGCCTCCGGGGCCCCTCTTGAGGGCCTCGAAGGCCCTCTTGTACTTTCTCAGGGGCCTTCTGGTCCGTGTTGGACTCTCTGGAGACATGGAGACAAGGCCAAGTATGCACAACTCGCAACCAAGTCTACAGCTTTTCCATTCTTTGGGCCTCCAGAGGGCCTCCCCAAGAGAGCCCCAAGACGGCCACGTGGGGCTACCGAGGGTCCCTAAGCCCTCTTGAACGCATCTTGGTCGGCTCTGGGGGGACGTTGGAATCGGTTCGGGTTCAGGAGGAAAAGCAACACACAGACAAAGTAAACGTCGATCCCCAGGAATATATGGAAAATATGGGAAGTGGAGGGGCATCGTGGGATTTGTGCCCATTTATTCGTGTGTCCCTGGGCCCCTTCAAGGGCGGGCTTGGCTTCCCGCAGGCCCACGCGACAAGCGCCCAGGAACGCGCAGAAATTCTTGCCAACTGACGGTCCCGGCCCGTAAAGAAACGTGCAGTCATTGGAACACCTACGTGCGTATGAGACCAGGGACACTCCCATACGTGCTGAAGGCACGATATTTTCATCACATGCATGTATCGGGGGACTTGGGCCAGGGGCCCTGGTCCCCGCTGCCTCGACCGCAAGTGGGGATGTCGGGGGCCAGTCGCGATTCTGGGAGCACCAAGGTCGGCCTTGCGGCCCCCGAGGCGGCCCAGGATGGCCCCCAAGAGGGCTCCCATGTGGCCTCCAAGGCGGCCCAGGATGACTCCAGAGCAGCTCGGGGGACTCCCAGACTGGCAACCCCGTCTAAGAGCGGCGCGCCAGTGGGATCATCCGCCCGCTGGCCGAGAAATGCGTGCCTCCGCCAGCATGCTCCGCACCCGTCAGAGGCCCAGGACGGGCTGATGTCCCCAGCCGCCGCCTCGGGCCTCCCACGAGATCTCGATCCACTCCTGGTCTAATCGAATCTCAGCACGGCCAGGGCTACGACCGACGAGCGGACGACCCGAACTGGAGCCTCCCCGCATGCAGGTGGCCAGAGACGACATCACCGCGTGGTGTTCACCCTCTGGCTCCCCTGAGGTCTGGACCGTTCTTTGGGACCGGTTCCGCGGGGCCCCTTGGGGGCACCTGGAGGCAGAACATCCGAGAAAACGCCGCGTCGCGATGCTTTCAGGCGCGGCGAACACCCTGGCCGAGGCCAGGGCGTCGAGAGGGCGGGCCAGGGAACACCCACGCACCTGGCGCTGTGATGGAGTCAATGCGCGGCCCGAGAGGTCTCGGCTCTCGACCCCCTTCCGGAAGCAGTTGTGTGTCCTGGATCCATGTTTGATGGCCCTAGGGCACGATAACGGGCCTACAGTAGGGGTCTTGAAGAAGGAACCCTTTTCGTTGGGGAGGGGCTCCGTATTCCTTGATCGTTTCACAGCTTGCCTTAGGTTTTCCCACGGTTTTCGATGGGGAATCGAAGTTTAACTTATGGGAAAGGAGGGGCCTCGTTCCTTATTCAGGGTTCCTTAGGTCAACGCCCCGACTGTAGGGGGCAAACACGGAGGGAGAACGCCAGGTTCGAACAGACCACATCGTCTCGCAGATTTGGGCAGCAACAAGTTCCCCCCTCGTCGGGATGCGGTTCCTGGAGGGTCAGATTCAACATCGGCGCTGGTCCATCCGTCGTCGAAAGACGGCCCAATCCGGCCTAATCCTTCTGAATCGGGCTGAATCCAGTAAGCGGATGTTGCTGAATCCCCAAATTCGACCTACTATGGCTTCATGGCTCCTGCATCGGGCGTCGTAGCCCTTAATCGTTCTTATGGAGCGGAGTTGCCTCCTATCCTCGCCACCTCCTCCTCCACTGTACGCAGCTCCTTCTTTCTCGATTGCGCATAACGCGAATTGGGCCCTGTTTGGAGCTCCAGGTCAGCTATGGCACACGTCCGCGGATGGAGAAGCACAGAGCGCCGTGTAAATGGATGGATGGGGGGAATAGGATGTCAGAGTTGGCGCGAGAGCACGGGCTCCGAATGATAAAAAACTGCATGCGCACGGACTTGTGACAGTCCGGGCGGATTTCTTGGATCTGCGCTGGACCAAGACTCTGCCCAGACCGTCAAAAGCTTATGTTCATGCCGTTTGATATTCCATATTCCTCCAAGATCTTGCCCACCTCCCCGTGCTCCTTAACTAGAAGTCGTGGACCTTATTTTTGGATGCAGGGCCAGCGCCTTCAGAGAAGCAGCCTTCTTCTGAGCAGCCTTCCCCCTCCCTCCCATTCCCTTGTGCGCACCGCCCGCCTCCCCCCCTCCGCAACCTGACCTCCTCTTGGGCCCGCAACCGGGGGGGCTGGGCTGGATGGGCGCCGGTCCCGTCCGCCCTGGGGGGCAGCCTCCGGGGGGCACCGGTTCAGGGGGGGAGCATGGCCAGTGTCGGTTTAGCCGATCCCTGTCCCCATCCCTATACTGATCCCCACCATTCGCCCCCAGTTTGGGATGTAACCCTCGAAGCCCGAAGGAAACAGCCAGCATCCCCACCTGGGGGGGCAGGCTCGGCCAATGGGCCCAGGCCACGCCAGGGGGGAATAGGGATCGGCTGGGCGATGCTCATGTGGAGCTGGAATCGACGATACGACTCCGATAGAGATCGGCGATGTGCCCCCGATGGCGCATCCGCAGGCTCCTGGGCGGGGGTGGCTTGTCGGGCCCCCATGGGCGATGAGTGGACGATGGGGGGTCGACGCGTCCTCTCCGCCCACAGGACTGGTGTATTCTATACCCGGGAGCCCTGGCAGGTGGGTGAAGGTCCAAGTCGAGGGATTGGTCCACAAACGTTCCTTCCTGGGGCGTGGGGTTTGGCGTACCAGACGTTGCCCCAGGCGGTGGGATCTGACTGGGGCGGTGAGGGCGCTGTGCATTCAGGCTGCATAGTAGGGATGGGCAGTTCTCCTAAGGGTACCCTTGCATGCCTGCCTCCTCGGCCCATCCTTGGCCACTTTCGCTGGCCGCGCCCCGCCCGAAAAGCCTTGGAACGGCCTTCCAAGGCCCTTGCGTCCTTGTTGTGCGTCCTCATGATACGAGCTGGCTGTATTCCATTACACGCTGGTCGTTGGAAGTAGGTATTTTTGGATTCCCAGATCCCAATCTATTTCAAGCGCCTTCCTACTTTAAGAACCGACACGCTTTTGCTGTGTTTGTTATTCCCTGGGGGGGCTACTTCATGTTTGTACCTACTTCTTCCGACCGACGTGCATCCCACGAACTATCTCCCGAGGCTGCTCCCCGGACTTGAGCCGAGCGCTTCCCCCGCACTGCTCCCCCCCCTCCCCCGAGGATCCTGGCCGTGGCGGCGCAGATCCCGAAGGAGGCGGCGCAGCAGGGCCCCACGGAGAGGTCGCTGGCCGCCCGGGGCGGGTCGCCGCCGAGGGCGACCGGCCCACGCCTTCTCCACCGATGCTGCTCTATGCGGGCGTGCAGCGTGTAGCCCCCCCCCGTGCAGGAGCCCGTGCGTGGTGGTGTCCTGGGTCTTTTCTCCCCCTCCTCCTCCCCCGTGCAGTTTTCTGGTCTGGGCGCGCGCCAGAGGAGCGGCAGGGGACCCACACCCCTACCTTTCGGCCGTCGTCCTTTTTGGGGGAGGGGCCTCCCGGGAGGCCCTCGTCGCCACCGCTGGGTTCGCCTGGACAGTCTGGTCAGAATGCACCCCAGGAGAGGCCCAGGGAGTAGCGGTGTAGCGGGAGGCCCCCAATACGTAGAGATAGTTTGCCCCTTCAGACGCTTGTTTGGGTCGCCTCCGGCCACTTCGCCACACGGGCTTCGGCAGCATGGTTACCCAACCGCCGTTCTCCGAACCGGGTTGTGCTGTGCCAATTGTGCCGAGTCCCGTCCCCTCCTGCCATGGCAGAGCGCGCATCTGCGGGCACCTCATTGGCCCGCGAGCACTGCCACGTGTTCGGCAAGGGATAGGAGTTGTAGACGGGTAGACTTTGACCAGGACGTTTTCGAGCTCAATGGCGGCCTCCGCAGGAAAGCGGGAGGTGGGGGAAGCGAACGAGTTGGGGGCATTGGGTAGCAGATAGGGTAGCTATGTGTCCTCGGCCTCTCTTCCCATTCCTCTCAGAGTGGCTCGTCGCCGTGGTCTCCTCCTCGTCTTAGCTCTCGTTCTCACTCGTGTGCATGCTCGCCCAATGCGGTATCATCCGCATCGGGAGCTCGACAAGAACAGATGGGGGGGAGGAGTTGGAGGAGGAAGTGGAGGAGGAGGAGGAGGAGGAGGAGGAGGAGGTGTAGGGGGAGGAGGAGGAGGGAGGAAGAGGAAGAGGAATGACCCTTCCCTACTTCTCTTCCTTTGCTCATGTGGCTTTTCCTCCCCATCCCCTTGCGAAGTCGCCTGGGGACGGCGCCAGTTTTGACTGACTTCACCGCCACCAGCGACGTGCACAGCGGGAGGGGGGATGGTGGTGAGGAAGTTGTGGGGGGAGGGAGGTTGAGAGGGGGAGGTGGCAGATGAGGAGGAGGAGGAGGCGGAATATGGATGTATTCATTTACATGTGCATCTATGCTTGCACCCATTTCGTAATATATGTACATCTCCGACCGCGACGTTGCCTAGCTCCGACCGCCAGCCTCCGCGGGGCACCAGGGGAGGAGGAGGAAGGGAAAGAGGAGGATGCGCTTGGGGCTGAGGAAGAGAAACAAAGAGGGCAGGCCAGGAAGCAGCGAGGGGATGGAGGGATCAAGGAGGCGAGCAGGACGAGGAAGAGGAGGAACGCGTTTTTCCCGGCCGCGACGTTGCCGAGACAGCTACCGCAGGGGGCACCAGGAGGAGGAGGAGGAGGAGGAGGAGGAGGAGGAGGAGGAGGAGGCACGCAACTGAGGGCACCACGGCTGCGCCGGCCACCCTTGGCGCGCCCGCCCCTCTGGGAAAGAAGTGCACGGGAGTACTAAGAGTGGCGCAAAGAGAATCCCGAGACGGCTTGTCATCATCAGATGTGTGTTTACTAGGTTTTTTGTACTTCGGAGTTTGTAGGCCTTTTGAACCTGAACAAACCTGAACAAAGGTAGAGAGGTATCCAGAATTGCCCGAGGTGGCCCCAATGATTGGCAAGAAGAGGCCAGGAGGGCACCGAGAGACCCCAAGACACCTGCTCGGCAGGCTTCGTGAGAGGTTTCTGAAAGGGCCAGGCGGCGCCCAGGGAATTGGCACTTGGAGCGGGGTTCGTTTTGGAACGGAAATGGTGGCCAGAGGGCGCCCCGGGCGCACCCAAGGCCCTTGGGCCTGCGGAATGAGCGGTCCCCGTAGAGGCTCAGAGGCAGGGAGGGTATGACAAGTGTGTTGGTGAGAGTCCTTGCAGATCATGGTGTGGTGGTCTCACACGCCGTGCCCGATGGAGCGGTGGATCGTTTCGCTTACTCCGCCGGCCCATACTGCATGTAGTGTGTATGAGCCTTTGGCCAAACTCACCGCCCACCAAACCACTCCAACCCAGCCCGAAGGCCCCGATTCGTCTTCCATTTCCAGGGTGGGGGGGGGGAGCCGGGGAACATGGAGAAAACACATATGAAGCCCGTACCCCCCCCAGCCTGAAACTCGGGTCTTCGGGTTTGGTCGGGGTGGTCTGTCAGGTGGTCACACACTGGGCCGTGGGCAGGAGGCCTGGTTGGGAGGCTTGTCGGGGTCTCTTTGGAGGCCTCCCGCGGGCCTCGTGCCCGCATTTCGGAGCCTCTTGTGGGCCTCCTGGGGCATTTCGGGGGTAGCTCGGGAGCCTCGGGGGGCCTCTTGGGGGCCGATTGGGGATCTGCTGGCGGTTTCGGGAGCTATCTTCGGGGGAAAGGACTTCAAGCTTTTGTTCGGATTTTCTCTTCTAGCACTGTAGCCCTTTTGGAGGTCCTTTTGGACCGTCGTGGGGCCCTCGGGCCGTCTTCGGGCCGTCCTGGGAGGCTGTTGGGCTATCTTGGCGCGATCGTGGGAGCCTCTTGGACCGTCTTGGGGAGTCGGAAGTCCGAAAAGGCGGTAACGCCCAAACCTTTCAACGGCCAGACTGGAAAACAATTGAAATAGAGTCTCCCGGGAGGCTCACGGGGTTTATATTGGACCATCTTGGGGCTATCTTCAGGCCTCTTGGGGCCGTCTTTGTGCCATCTTGGGGCCTGCCATCCATTGATCTCGATTTCTGGGTCCTCTTGGAGCTTCCTTGGGGCTCCTCGGGGCGTTGCTGGAGCACTCTGGAGGGCCCTGAAAACCCGCCGGGGGTTCTGGCATCCTCGACGGGCTGCTCCTGGGCTGGAATTGGCGACTGCAAAGGATGTGGTTACGCCGGGGTGTGGTTTGCGATCGGCGCCGTTGGGGGCTGGGGGGCACGACGCTGTCCTCGTCGGGCCTCCTCGGGGAGCGGCGGAGAGCTCTATCGAGGCACCCGCCCACCCTCCAGCACCCTCACAGCGCCTTGCTTGAGCTCGCAGCGTGTCCCCGGAAGCGCTTTCCTACTGGTTCCCTCTACGCGTGTCCCGAAGCTCTTCCGTGAAGCGTCTCTGCCTTGGAAGTTTCTTTCTCGCGAGCTTGCACGTCCAGACGCGCTGTCAAGCTCTCCCCGAAGCCTGTTCTTGAGGGTCCAGCGGTAAAAGCCGGGTTATCGGGGCCCCGCACGTCCCCCCCCCCCGACTCCCCCCGGATAGCCTGCGACTGTGTCCGTTGCGGAGGGCCGAAGGGGCTGCGCGGTGCTGGTGCGCGCGGGCACGAACGGCATACACGTGGGGCCACGACTGGCGCGACCGAGCGGGGGCCACGAAGGGCAGCGAGGGGGCCACGAAAGGCTGCAGGCAGCGAGGGGGCCACGACGGGCTGCAACGGGGCCACGAAGAGGTTTGGTTCTGGGCCAGCACCTCCCTACCCCCCCACGCACAACCTGGGTCAATCTCTAGGCCTCCTAGATGGGGTGCGAGGAGATGGGGTCGGGGGATCGCGCCGCGCTGCGGATGCATCGGCGATGCGATTCGATGCGGAGCCCGATTTTCTCCTCGCTGGAGCCGATGCGTCGCCGATGCATCGGCGATGTGTCTCCGATGCATCGGCGATGCTGCGCGATCCTCCGACCCGATCTACTCCGACTCCATCTGGGAGGCCTCTACTGTGGCCAGCAAATGAAGGACGATCTCTTGCCGCCGTCGTCGCCGCCGCCGGCGGCGGGGCGGAGCGGCGGAGGTCGGCTTCGAAGGCCTCGGAGGCGTACAGGCACGCGGCATTGCGGGAGCTCGGCAGGAGCAAGTCGCCCCGTCCGGGCGAGCTCGCGTCGCAGGCGGCGCCCGCCGAAGCGTGTGTTCTGGATGGCGAGGATGGCAATGGCGTCGATGGGGAGAGGAAAACAATCGGGGGCGGCCAACAGGGTGGTGGTGGCTCGTGGGGGTGGACGTCATGGCGGGGGCCATGAGATTTCCCCAGGTTTCATGGCGCCTCCTCTAATTCCAATGCGTCCCTGGCCCCCCCCCCTGGGCCGCGCACATGTCGCTGGCCGTGTTTTGTGCCCCCCCCCTCTTGGACGCCCCCCTCCTGGCCGCCCCCGGGAGGAGATGTGATGATCTTGATGTCGATGATGACGATGGCAATGACGTCGATGATGACGATGACAGCGACGTCGATGACTGGTGGAGACGATGGCAATGACGTCGATGAAGAGGAGGACAGAGCATGTTTGTGAAATTCCCGGCGGTAACAGGCGTCACCGGGCCGGGGGGGGGCGGAGGGGAGGGGGACCGGCAACGTCACGTTTCGCGCGGGCGCCTTTTTGGGAACGTCCAGGGATAACACAACACAACTCGGAGGTCAGCACAAATCGCGACGGCACCTGCTGGTGCGGCTGTGGCATGTACTTGCTCTATCGCGGACAAAGCATACGTTTTCCAAGAAAATGGAATCAGAAGAGGAAGAGTTTCCGATGCCGCGACCCTTCCATCGAGGCCACGGCTGGATTCGCCTCCAAGTCCAGGTCAGAACGCGCCCCTAGAGAGGTTCGGGGAGTAGCGGTATCGGTACCTCTGTGTCCCTCATCATCTGTATCGGTATGTTTTGTGGTAGTTGTTCTATGTTCTCCGTTAAAAACTCCAGGCGATTCCATCGAGGCATTTGCTCAACAAGATTAGGATGAAGCATCACGGCAGGACGGTGTGGCTTCTTCACTTGTCTATCCCCCCTCCCCATAGCTTCAACCCAACCTGGAGATACATGACCCAAGGTACGGCATCACAGCGTAGTCATACCGCAATGCCTTGATAGGCACCAGGGAACGATTCGTGTAGGGATAGGGGCAACTGCCACGCGCAAGTACCTGAAGGAAGGAGACAGGGCGACGATCTCTATACATATGAGAGACACGTGTTTCGTGTGCGTTTGGGCAAGTGGTCGCGATCGTATTTCCCCCCGAGCAAGGCAAGATGAGAATCCATCCCCTTCTATCCTTTGCTGGTACTCGCCGCCTGCAAACGACGACGACCACGACCACGACCCCGACGACTACGACGACGATGACGACAACGACGACCACCACCACGACGAGGACGACACCGACGACGACCACGACGACGACGATTACCACGAGCACGATACAACCACGACCACGACCACGACCACGACGACCACGATGACGACGACGACGAGGACGACGACGACGGCGACGTCGGCACTCGCCGCCTGCAAACGACGACGACCACGACAACGACCACGACGACCACGATGACGATGACGACGACGACAACGACGAGGATGACGACGACGATGGGGACGACGACGACGACGACCACGACGACGCCGACGACGATTACCACGACACGGCCACGACCACAACGACGACGACGACGACGACCACGACCACGACGACCGCGACGACGACGACGACGACCACGACGACGACGACCGCGACGACGACGATTACCACGACCACGACACGGCCACCACCACGACCACGACGACGACGATGACCACGACGACCACGACGACAACGACGGTGACGACGACGACGATGACGGAGCCGACCACGACGACGACGCCGACGACGACCACGACCACGACCACGACCACGACCACGATAACGGCGCCCCACCCTGGTCTTGACCCCCCCGCCCCGCCCCCTCCTCGTCCTGACCACCCGTCCGACCCGTCCGATGCAATGTCCTACCCGCCCGACCCCCCCACCCGACTGGTCTTCGTCGTCGTGGCGTTGGTGGTTGTTGTTGTTGTCCTCATTTGAAGGCTTCGAGTAGGGTGCGATCCCCTTGCGCAAGGAGGGGGCAGTTCGTAACCCCCCTTCCCCTTGCGCCGGGGTGGGAGGTGGTGGTGGGGCGGGTCGGAGATCCATGTTCTGGGAGTTTTCGAAGGCAAGCGAACTTGACGTGCGCACTCTCAAACAGATCCACCGCTCCTGGCCAGGCCCATCCCCGTCGTCGACGCTGTCGTCGACGCCGCCGCCGCCGCTGTCGCCGCTGCCGTCGTCGCAGCAGCCGTCGCCGCCGCGGCCGTCGCTGTCTGCAGGGTCGAGGATTGGGGCATCTGGACGTACTTTGGAGGTCTCCTGGGCCCCCTGTGGGCCCCAAAGCTCCCGACGCCCCTCTTGGGAGCAAGACCTCGCTCCGGATCCATTTTTGATGGCGCCTGGGCCTGGTCCCGGGCACCCAGAGGCCGAACGGAAGGAAAGAGCGCCGCGATCGAGAACATCGTGCCGCTGGGGAGGAGGAGGAGGAGGAATGGTGGAGAGGGGGAGGAATGGTGGAGAGGGGGAGGAGGGATGGTGGAGGAATGGTGGAGATGAGGTGGAATGGTGGAGGGGAGGGAGGAGGCGGAGGGAAGAGGAGGAGGAGGAGGAGGAGGAGGAGAAGAGGAGGAGGAGGAGGAGGAGAAGGCGGAGGGAGGCGGAGGGAGGAGGAGGAGGAGGAGGAGGAGGAGGAGGAGGAGGAGGAGGAGGAGGAGGAGGAATGGTGGAGAGGGGGCCTCCCTCGTCCGCCCCAGGCGCCCTCCCGCAGCGTCAGCAAGAGCAATAGCGTCCGAGGCTCCAACGGCCCCGCCCTCCGGGACCCGGAGGCCCAGGCGTCAGCCGCCGCCTCGCCGCCCGCCGAGAAGTCCCAGGCGGCGCCGCGCCCCCCCATTGCTCGGGGCACCGATTGGAACGCAAGGAGCAGATTCCTGGAGACAGACAGAGAATTGATTATCGGGTTGGGAGGATGGGGCTGGGAGACATTTCAAACGATCAGATCATCCATATTTCCGCGTGGTGCCAATGATGACACAGCCGTGACCTGTATCTTGCCAGCCCCATCCCTTGATGGTCGCTTTTCTCATGGAGGTCTCGCGCGCCGCGCAGGACTTGTCAGAGTCAGGGGGCCAAACGGTCTCGCATTGCCCCTGAGTGCGTGACCGAAGTGAGGTCCCGTGGACGCGCATTGGCCCGGGGGGGCCGCATTGGTCCGTGGACGCGCATTGGTCCGTGGACCCCGTCTGTTGCTGTGCCTCGCTCTCACTGCGCTTCCCGTACCGAGGGACGTAGTCCCATTGCGCCCCATTACGTCCCCGCCTGCCTGACAGCGGCCGTTGCCGGTTTTTGACCCCGTTGGTTGCTGTGCCTCGTTCCCACACAGCGCTTACCGTACCGAGGGACGCAGTACCATTGCGCCCCACTGCGTCCCCGCCTGCCTGACAGCGGCCGCTGCCGGCTTTTGACCCCGTCAGTTTCTGTGCCTCGTTCCCACTGCGCTTCCCGTACCGAGGGACGCAGTCCCATTGCTCCCCATTTCGGGGAAACGTAAGACTCGAGTAAGCTGGAACTCCGGTTTGCCGATTTTTTTTTGACGAGCGCGTCCTGAATTTGGACGGTCCCGTTTTCGTGGGATGTCTGCAGCGGGAGCCCGCGTCAAATTTCAGATTGGGCCTCGCCATTTTTATGATGGCCCCCGTCAGGCCAACCCGAGCTCCCCGTTCCCGAGTCTTACGTCTCCCCGACCATTGCGCCCATTGCGTTCTTGTGTCGGGGGGTGCTAAAGGTGCCCCTGGCCCAAGGCGGTCCTAGCTTTTCCATTTCGGAGCCCCTGGGGCCCTCTGGTCCTCGTGGGGGCTGCTCTGAAAGCCGTGGGGGCCTCCTTGGGGATCCTAGGGTTAAGGTGGGCGTGTCCCTCTACAGAAGGAATATTCAAACATAGTCCAAACATAGTAAGGGGACGATTTCTGAATGACCATGTTAGAGCACTTTTGATGTAAACATACAAATATGAATATGAATATGTTTCGACCACAAGCCGCCTGTATGGGACATGCCCGACCTAATCCTAGGGCCAGGGGCACTTCTAGCAACGACCGATTGTGTTGGACGCGCAAAGGCGATGGAGGATGGGGAAGCTGGTGTTCGAAAGCGGTCGGCCAGTCATTTGAGGTCCTTGGCGTTCCGTTCTTCCTCGCAGCGGCCGCGCTCGTGAGTCTTCGGCTGTTTCCGGGGCCTGGCCGACCTTTGCGCTCAACAGTGTTCTGCGGGTGCCGGAAAACCCGCAAAGGCCGCCCGATGCTCGAGGGGGGGGGAGGGGGAGGAGGGGGAACATCGAGGAGGAGGAGGAGGCGGAGGAGGAGGAGGAGGAGGAGGCGAACAACAGATCGTCTCCAGCGTCCAGAAGCCAAGGGGGGGTCAGCCCGAACGGGGGCCAGCCGATCTCGTATGGCCCCCTCCGCTGGAGCCGTGGAAAGGGGGCACTCCAGAGAGGGCCCCTCGCCCTCGAGGGGTCGGTGGAGCTGCTGCCTCTGCCGCTGGCGGGAGGCTGGCGGCAGCAGAGCGGAAGTCTGGAGGAAGGCTGTGGAAGTAAGGCAGGCGACGACGACGACGACGACGACGACGACGACGACGACGACGACGACGACGACGACGACTGCGACGGCGGCGACGGCGACGGCGACGGCGACGGCGACGACGACGGCGACGGCGGCGACCTCCTCAGGCGACAGCCTGGCGGTGCCGAGGGGGGTCACCACGGGGGGGGGGAGGCGGGGGGCGGCGCGCCATTCCTGGAGGGCGCGGCCCCCCGCGGGACCCCCCACGGCCCCCAAGGAACGCCACCCCCGGGTTGCCGGGGCGGCCCTGCCGAGCCCTGCCGGACGGGTGGTCATTGGGGGTGACCCAAATGGGGGGGGCGGAAAAGAGGGGGGTGATGACTAGGGGGGGTGGATATCATGGCGGGGGCCATGATATTTCCCCAGATTTTATGGTGCCTCTTCTTATTGCATTACGTCCCTGGCCCCCCCGCTGAGCCGCGCACATGCCGCCGGTCATGATTTGCACCCCCCCCTCTTGGACACCCCCCTCTTGGCCGCTCCCGACAAATGAGGGGTGCAGAAAATGACCCTAAAGGGGCGGCCCATTAGGGCTCCTTCTAGAGCCAGCTGGTGCCCCAGAGGTGCCCTAGAGGGCTCCTTGAGGGCCCTTTTCTTCACCCCCCATGTGGGTCACCCATTGCCACCCGCCCGACTAAAGCAGGGTTGCTAGAGCGGCCCAACCGACCCGTGCCCATCGAGGAAGAACAAACGCCGTAACACACAAACTTTTGGCGCTCCGCGCGGATCTCTTGGATCTGTGGTGGGCCCCACCCGGTGGCGCCTCCGGCGCCGCCCCACGCGCGCTCCGCGCGCCAGGGAGAGAGGGTTCAGCGCGGATCCAAGATATCCGCGCGGAGCGCCACAAATTTGTTTTCATGCCGGTTTGTTTCCTCTTCTCGACCAGGGTCTGGGAGTTACTTTTAGATCGGGCGTGCCCCTCTACAGGAGGAGTATTCAAAACTAGTCAAAACATAGCCTGGCAACCATTTTTTAAGTACTTTGAAATATGTTTGGTTCTTTGTTTCACGATTTTAAATGTTTCGTTCAAAATCCCCTAGGGGGACATGCCCGACCTAAAGTTACTTCGCCGCCGTCCTGTGCTCCCGACGCGCCCCTGGCTGACCCAGGTCAGCACCGCCCGTGCCAGCCTGTCCCTGAGGAGGAGGAGGAGGAGGAGGAGGAGGAGGAGGAGGAGGAGGAGGAGGAGGAGGGGGAGGACACCGTTGCGCAATAGTCCGCGAGCACGTGAACATTGGAAGGTCATAGTCAGCGTCGGCGCTGGTAGATGCGTGGCCTTCAACCGGCTCAATCCCGCATAATCCCGCCAGGCTTTGGTTTCTCCGATCTCTCCCGCTCGACCTGGCTTAATCGGTTGTATACGCTTATCTCAATTCTGGCCAACTCTGCAAACTTGTTCCTTAATGTGGTTGTGTGCAGCGAATCTTTCTTGCGAAGACTCAGCCACGCGCACAGGCGGGTAGGGGGAGCGGGGAAGGCTTCTTAGAAGGACCCCTCTTCCTCAGAAGGTGCGGGCCTGCTGTTTAGATGTAAGGCCAGCGCCTTCTAAGCAGCAGCCTCCTTCTAAGCAGCCTTCCCCCCTCCCCTTACCCCTCCTGCGCGCCGCCAAGAAGACGTCCCAGCAGTTGCCTCCTAAGGTTCGCCTTCGGTGGCTCCCCGCGAACGGGCGAGGCGCTGTCTTTTGGGGGCTGTTTCTGAGGTTCTCGGAAGGCGCGAGGCCGCTTCCCTGGCCGCCCTGGTTCCCCCAGCTGCGCGCGTGGGCTGCGCGTCGTCGCCCCCGCCGCGATGCTGCGCACGCGGCTGCCAAGCAAGAGGGGAGGAGGATTTGCTGCAGCTCCTCGAAGATTGGGAGTCGACGAACAAGCAAACGACACCACCCCACCTACGGCCCCCCACGTTGCGACACGGTCCATCGGGCGCCGTAGCGCATACCACGCAAAAATCCACGCCAAATCTCTCCGCATACGATAAGCCCCTGTGGGGCAGAAGGTGGGGTGATGTCGTCTGTTTTCTTGTCCAGGGGGCCGCGGGCCTTGTTGGCAGCGCCAGCCTCGCGCGCGCGTGGGCGTTGCGTCAGCAGCGCAAGAAGAGAGGCAGCTCAGGCATCCGACGTCGTGCTTCCTCGCAGCGCAGCTCTCCCCAGCCGCCTGGGCCTCTTCTCCTGCGGGGGCCCCGTCCCGAGTTCGTGTTCTGAAGGCCCCAGGGTCCCGGCGAGGGCTTCCCAGAGGCCGAAGACGGCCAACAGCCTTCCGTCGTTTGTTTTCGCTTTGCCTCCTCCTTCTCCCATCCCCCTTCCATCCCCCTCCATCCGCCTCCTCCTCCTCCTCCTCCTCCTCGCGGCGCCAGGATGTCAGGGGGGGCGCCCCCGCGGCACGCTCGACGCCGCCTGCCGTCGCCGCCGCCCGCCGGGGGCCGGCGTAGTACCTCTGCCGCCGCGCGCGTACGTGCCGGACCGACGTGTCCGTGGGGGTCGTGTGCAAGAATCGCGCCGTCCCCAGGGGACGCTGTTTCTGTGAGCAGCCCCCGCTTCACGGTCCTGTGCCGGGCCAGCTTTTGTCTGCAGGGGTGGCAGAAGGTTTGTGTCCCCCGTCCGTCGCCGCCGTGCGTCGTCTTCGCCGCCGCCGGCTCCCAGAGGTGGGCCTGCGGCGGAGCTTCGCCCAGGCCAGCCTCGGCACGCGCGTCTGCGCCTCCCTCAGCATCGGCAGCCGCGCCAGCCGCCAGGCGCCGCCCCTCGTCGTCGTCGTCGTCGTCGTCGTCGTCGTCGTCGTCGTCATTGTTGTCGTCGTCGCCGTCGTCGTCGTCGTCGTCGTCGGGATCGTCGTCGTTGTCGTGGTCTTGGTAGTCATCGTCGTGGTCGTCGTCGAGGTCGAGGTCGTTGTCGTGGTCGTGGTGGTGGTCGTCGTCGTCGTTGTCGTCGTCGTGGTCGTGGTCGTCGTCGTCGTCGTCGTCGTCGACATCGTCGCCGTCATCGTCCCCTCAGTCGTTCGCGTTCTCGTCACCAGGGCCGTCCTCGCCCTCGTCGCCCTAGCCGCAGTCCTCGCCGCCGTCGTCGTCCCCGAGGTCGTCGTGTCCTCGCTTTCGTCGCCGCCGCCGGGTGGTCGCCACGCGGCCGCCGTCGGTGCCCTCGACGTCGTCGTCCTCGCCGCCGCCGTCCTCGCCGCCTCGCCGCCGCCGTGCCTCCAGGCGCTCAGCGCGCGCGTCTCGAGCCACGACCCGCCGGCCCTGGAGCCCGCCGCCGCGGTGGAGGAGGAGCCCTCGGCCGCCCTCGGCGGCCTCCGCCGGCGGCCTCCCTCGGCGGCCCTCGGGCGGCCCGTCGGCCTTCGTTCTTCGGCGGCCGGTGGCCCGGCCGGTGGGCCGGCCTCGGGCGGCCTTCTGCGGCCTCTCGGGCAGGCCTCGGCTGCACCCTTCGGCGCCCTTCGGAGCCCGTCGCAGGCGGAGGAGGACGCCGAGGGGACTGGTGACTTCCTCCTCCTCCTCCTCCTCCTCCTCCTCATCCACCTCCTCCTCCATTGTTTTGCCTTATGAGTAATTCTCCCTAGTCGAACCCCGAAACGTGTCGGTAGGGCGGGCTGGGCGTTTCGCCTGAGACTTCCCCACCAGCTATGATCCCGACACTCCGAAGCTTCAAGCATTGCGATGAGTTTCACGGATGGGCTGGTGGTTTTCAGAATGTGGACCGTTGTTCTTGGGCGATCTTGGGCGCTTCCTTGGCCGTCTCGGACACGCTGAAAGCCGAATAGGCTGGAAAGCGAACGCCACCAAACAAAACATAGTTTTCGACGATGTTGGCCCCTTGGGCCAACCTGCAGGGCCTCCAAGACTGCCCAAGAGGCGCCCAAGAGGGCTCCAGGACGGTCCCCGGGGCCAGGTGAAGTCATGTTGGACATGCATGTCCCCAACAGCGTGCTTTCGAAAAGTCGCGCGGGGACCCCCCTGGGAGCGCGCGACGAGCGCCAGGGAGCGCCCGAGAGCGCCCCGAACTCCTGACTGTGGGCCCCGGAAGATCGCTTACACAGCTCGACACAGAGAACTCAAACGAGCCTGTGAAGATCCCAACTTTCTGTGGATGGATCTCTCAAGCTCTCCGCCGCTTCTGGCGGTGTGCGTTGCGAGCAGGAACGCAGCAAAGCCACAGGAAAGCGCGGCATTGACAGTGTAGCTCCGCACGCGTGACACATGTTAGCGAGCAGGAACACAGCAAAACCCCAGGAGAGCGAAGCATTGACGGCGTAGCTCAACATTCACAAAGTGGTGGAGGCCACAGTGGCGGATTTCCTCGTCCTCCTGTTTCCAGAGGAGCAGGAGGTCCTGAGTGTGATGCGTGCTAAGATTTCCCAGGTGCCCTCTTGTTCTGCGCGGGATCTAGGTGCGGGGGCCGCTAGCTTCCCCAGCAGCCCTGGAATGTATCCCTAGCCAGTCGCATCATGCCATCACCTCCAAGTGCCCATGTCGGCCCGATCGGTCCGATTCGGTATCGCTCCCGGCCTGGTCGATACGATCAGATCCCGATGATTTCGACGGTGCGACGTGGTCCGATGCCTGAATGACGCTGGGGCGCTTCCAGTTTCCGGGTGCTTCTGCAGCTCGCGCGCAACGCTGAGGCCACAGATGGCAAGGCGCCGCGTCTGCACATGCAGGAGTACAGTCAACCCGCATAGTAATGATGGGCAACCTCGGCCAGGGACCCTTGCATCCGTTTTCTCTCCTCGGTCCATCCTTGGGCACTTTCGCTGGCCCGCCCGAAAAGCTTCGGAACGGCCTTCCCAGGCTCTTGCACTCTTATCGTGCATCCTCGTGTTACGGGTCGACTGTACTTGGAAGGCCTTTGCGCCGCCATGCGGCAGGCTAGCGCCCAGGCGGTGCTGAAGCGCGCTCTGCGCCGCAGCGGCCGCCCCCAGCGCCGCCGATGCGGTCAGCGCTATTTTCCTGCCGTAGATTCGCACGGCCTCCTGGAGCTGAGCTTTCTTAGGCCATGCGGGCCCCAGTGCTCCTTTTCCTTTTTCTCCCCCCCCCCCCCTCTTTGAGGAGGAGGAGGATGACGAGGAGGAGGAGGAGGAGGAGGACGACGACGAGGAGGAGGAGGAGGACGGGGAGGAGGAGGAGGATGAAGAGGAGGAGGAGGAGGATGAAGAGGAGCAGGAAGAGGAGGAGTCACACTCCCTGCTTCCCGCGGTCGCACGTGCGCCTCAGGGGGGGGGGGGGGGGGTTGGTGGCTCGCGCCTCTCGGCCGTGCGTCCGCCTCCTTCCCCCCCGACTCTCCCAGCCTTCTCTCGCTCCCTTCCCCCTCCCCACGAGGGTTTATCCAACGGGTTTGGGCGACCCGTCCTCCTCCTCCTCCTCCTCCTCCCCCTCCTCCTCCTCCTCCTCAGCCGTTCTGGCCCAAGTGTTTTTGGGCTTGCAGCAGCAGTCTTAGAGCGGCAGTCGCTGCTGCGTGCCTTTTTGGCTACAGTCTTTCGGGCCTCCGTGGAGGCAAGCTATCCTGCCCAGCAGCTGGGCTATCCATTACCAATGGCGGAGGGGGAGCTGGAGACGTTCTGGCGGGCCCCCGCCTGCCCACATGGGCGTGCAGCGCATGTGGGCGAAACTCTAATTGGGCAAGCCGCATCGTATGTCAGTGCGGAGAACGTGCACCACCCGACGTGGCTCGCCGTGCTCGTGAGCGTGCTACTACTGCTGAGCGTGAACGCCCTCCTCGTCGTCGCACGCAGGCTGGACAGGACCCGCTCCAGCGGAACCGCGATGCGCTGCAGAAGAGTTTCGATGCGATGGTGGCGTCCAAAGGGAATGGGTCCAGCCCCACACCGCCTGCGCCACAGTCTGAAGCTAAGCAGCCCACCGAGGCCGACAAGCTCAAGGATACGACCAAGCAGCTGGGGAGCCCGATTTCATAGTGCAAGTCACTGCCTGGCGAAGTTGGTAAAGAAGCACGTGAGTCTCTGGAGAGGCAGCTGGCGGATGCACGCAAGCCTTTGGCGGCTACTAAGCCAGAACTCACACAGCATACGGATATTGGGCATCGGCTTTCCCGCGCGAGCACGCGCAGGCAGAAGCTCGAGCAGACCATCGCGGAACAGTTGGAGGTTATTCGTGCAGCTGAAGAACGAGTCGACACTCCCCGTGCTCAAGTCAAAGCAGCTGATGAAGAAATTACGTTGCTCAACCGCGAGCTGGTCGGCATTTTACCGATGGCTCCTAAGGTCGATATGGAGGTCGATCAGGCAGCATTGGAACAGCACCCCCAGGCTGAAGCGCTCAAGTCTTTCATGCAGGCTTGGGACGCTCAAGGTGTTCGCCGAGGTTCTTGGAGAGAGCCTCAGGGCGCGTGAGGTGCCCAAGCCCGCAGCGGCGACATCACCATTCTCGGCTCAACCTGGTGACGATCGTGCGCCCTCTCGCCCGCCTGCTGAGCCTGACGACAACAGTGGCAGCGGCGACCCTGGCGCGGCCAACATTCGAGTGCCCGACGACATGGACTTGGATGACCTTGATGACACCACAATCGACGACATCATCCAAGCAGCCAGAGAGGATGGATTTGATAAGACCACTTTTTCTGAGCGGTTCGGCAGCCAGCTGCGCCGCGTCAAGCCGCGTGTGTAGCCAGAGTCTGCCGCTGTGTTGCGGACTCAAGCCTTCTAAATTCGGAGTTCCTGCTCCGCCTCCGCCCCCCCCCCCCCCCCCTGCCTCGCCCCGCTTGTCTTCCGAGCTTGTTGGCCAGGGCAGCTGCTTCGAAACGTATGACGGCAACTGCTGGTCCACTCTCCGTGAACGATTGCGTCTGTCTTCGGCAAGTATCCTGCTGGCGCAGGAGGCGGGCTTCCTCCAGGAGCGAGAGGGTGAAAACGGCTTGTGCTGCGGGGGCTCTCGGGTGGAAAATGCTTTCTTCCCCATCCCCCCCTGGTGAGGGCAACCGAACCAGGGCGGGGGTGGCGGTGTTCGTTCGCTCACACTTTCGCGTTCGATGGCCGGCGGATCGCTCGGGAATCCTGTTTCCTGGACGCCTGATCCATGTTGTCGTTGACATGCCAGGATGCCCCCCCCTTGCAGGTCGTTCGTGGCTACCTCAAGAGCGGGGCGGGTATGTGTAAGTTAAACATCCAGTTGTTCCGCCTCATGGGTGAACGCCTGCAAGGGGGGCGCATGCTTCTTGTCGGATGTGACTGGAACCTCGACCCCATGCTTGTGGACGCGTCTGGCGTAGGTGCTCGGAGGGGGGGGGGGGGGGGGGGCTCTGTTCGTTCCTGGCCAAAAAAACGCGTCTCCCCCCTAATAATAGTTTGACCACGGTCGATTACTTCCTGTATAGCTCTGGCGTCGCGAAGGCCAGTGACGGTCTTCTGGCGGCCCCCGACTGGACCCATCGGCCCCATCGCCCCGTGGTCCTCAGGCTGAAACCCGACGCCGTAAGGTGCTATCAGCTACAGTACCGAGCCCACAAGCGTTTGCCCACACGTCTGCCCGTAGGACCCTCGGCCAAGCCACAGGACTGGACTCGCTCGTTCGGTGGCTGAAGCGGCGGCCGAAGCTGCTCTCGAGGCCCCTGTTGGGCAGGCGTGGGCTTTGCTCTCGATCGCGCGGCAGCACTTTGCCAACACCTTCGAGCTCGAGCTCGAAAGCTATACGGGAGAGCTGGTGGAGTGCAAGGGTTTTCGCGGAGATTATCTTAAACCGAAGTGGGGTGCCGATTTTTGCCAAGCCTCGGTCGATTGAAATTATGTATGTTTCTCGGGTCTGGTTGTGGTTGGCCCAGCATCTTAAAGAAACTCTTGGGGCCTCTGCGAGGCTGCATCAGGCGGCCGAGAAGGCTGCTGAGGATCCCGAGGGGTTGGATGAAATCACCGTTCGTGACAATTTGATGGAAGACACGCACCTCCAAATACAGCAGCTTCTAGGCCTCCCGTGCCCAGGCGAAGGAGCGGGCATTCGCCTCGATTCGACCCTGCGGCAAGCTCGGAGTTTGGCGAGCAGGTTCCCCTCGTCAGGCCCCTGGAGTAGCTGGTGCGACGAGCGCCAGGAGTTTTTAAGTTCGTGGGAGGACGACCTCCCCTCGGCCAAGAAGGCCAGTGATCAGCAGCAGCAGGACAGCTGGGACCAATGGCAGGAGCAGGCTTTGGAAGGGGGGGGGGGGGGGTAGGGCCATGATGCATAGGCTCACCAAGTTAAAATCGAAGTGGAACCCCACGGTCGTTCAGACCCACCCTGGCGTGTTTTCTAGTAACCCTCAGCACCTCCTTCGACGCGAGGGTGAG